GTAAATGTGTGTGTGGATGTTTCCCAGAGATGGTTTGCGGCTGGAAGGGCATCCGCTGCGTAAAAACTTGCTGGATAAGTTGGCGGTTTATTCTGCTGTGGCGACCCCGGATTAATAAAGGGACTAAGCCAACAAGAAAATGAATGAATGAATAATCAGGTTTTTTACCTGATGCTAAAAAGAGACCAAAATTGGACGTTTTGCATTTTGAGTTCTTTTAAGACAAATGTATAATTCCTCCCAGTAAATTAAGCTTGGGGTGGCTTGTACTGCCATTAAAAACCAATAATGGCGTGTACAGTATGATGAGATTTGTGTTTCTACTGCCAATAGTACCCATGAAGCATAGGTCTTAAACTGGATTCCTGGAGGGCCGCAGCTCTGCACAGTTTTGCTTCAGCCCTAATCAAACACAGCTGATCCAACGAATCAAGATGTTCCAAATTACTAGACACTTTTAAGCAGGTGTGAGTTGGAGGTGGTTAGAGCTAAACTATGCAGAGCTGTGGCCCTCCAGGAATTATGTTTTTGACTATTGCCATAAAGGGATCCAGCAGGCACAGGATGTCAACATGACGTCAGACTGACGTTGTCCCCAACATCGTGGGATGTTGCAGTTTGTGTGGAAATGAAAATCGAGTTGACGTCAAAATCGCCAGACCGACATTAATGTCGGACCAACGTTGCATTTCAGTCACATTCCAACGCAACCCTAAAAGCAACCAAATATCAATGTCTAATGATGTTACAGCTTGACGTCTAATGTTACTTTCCCATATTTAGGTACTTTTGACAATTGAAATGGAAATAAATGTGTACCGTACTGTACCACTCACTGCAAACGAGTCGTAATTGTTCAACCCAGGCTTATTATAGATAAATACCCTGATATACATTTCTGCAGAGCGACAAATACGTCCTAGGATCTACTTTTTTGCAGTTTTTGTTTTCACAAATACAATAGAGGCGGCTATGTAAGATCTCATATCTCTCTCGCAAGAGCCATTCGCGCCTGCTGTTCTCACATAAATCCACCAGACTGCTGTCAACTGACTGACCCACCCCCTTCCCCAAACATAACCAAAAGTGTTTTCAAAAGCACCGATTGACCAGCCCACCCCCTTCCCCAAACCCAACCAATAATTTTTTCAAAAGCACTGATTGACCAGCGCCCACCGCCTTCACCAAACCCAACCAATAGTGTTTTCAAAAGCACCGATTTACCTGTGTCTAGCCCCTTCCCCAAACCCAACCGATAGTGTTTTCAAAAGCACCGATTGACCAGCGCTCACCACCTTCCCCAAACCCAACCGATAGTGTTTTCAAAAGCACCAATTTACCTGTGCCTACCCCCTTCCCCAAACCCAACCGATAGTGTTTTCAAAAGCACTGATTGACCAGCGCCCACCGCCTTCCCTAAACCCAACCAATAGTGTTTTCAAAAGCACCGATTGACCCACCCACCCCCTTCCACAAACCCAACCGATAGTGTTTTCAAAAGCACCGATTGACCCGCCCACCACCTTCCCCAGACCCAACCGATAGTGTTTTCAAAAGCATTGATTGACCAGTCAACCCATTTCCCCAAACCCAACCAATAGTGTTTTCAAAAGCACCGATTGAACAGCGCTCACCGCTTTCCCCAAACCCAACTGATAGTGTTTTCAAAAGCACCGATTGAACAGCCCACCCCCTTGCCCAAACCCAACAGATAGTGTTTTCAAAAGCACCGATTGACCAGCGCTCACCGCTTTCCCCAAACCCAACTGATAGTGTTTTCAAAAGCACCGATTGACCAGCGCCCACCGTTTTCCCCAAACCCAACTGATAGTGTTTTCAAAAGCACCGATTGACCAGAGCTCATCGCCTTCCCCAAACCCAACCGATAGTGTTTTCAAAAGCATTGATTGACCAGCCAACCCCCTTCCCCAAACCCAACCGATAGTGTTTTCAAAAGCACCGATTGACCTGCCCACCCCCTTTCCCTAAACTCAACCGATAGTGTTTTCAAAAGCACCGATTGACCCGCCCACCCCCTTTCCCTAAACTCAACCGATAGTGTTTTCAAAAGCAATCCTTCGTTGCAGCCTGATTTTTACCACGTTTTCAGATTTTACCACATTCTCACCCTGTTATTTACATGTTTTTTTTATTTTTGCCTTTTGTTTTTGTCTTACCTTCTTTCTGGAACCGTCCTTCACCGGACCCAAAACTCATCAAGGTCACCTCCACTCGGCATCTCAAGTCTGCCGATGTACACGGAAAGCCACTGGGCAAACTGGTAACAGCAGAAAAGCCGTCAACATGGAGGTAAGCAGTCAGCTGGTAGCACGGAAAGAAACAGAAGCCATGTGCGGTGTCATAGCACTCCGTAGAGTTAATTTTAAAGACGAAATGCAGCCATACGTACATCTGGCTACTTAATTCGCTATTATTTTCACAATGTGTCATAATTGTCAGATCGGTCATGAGAAGAACAAAATAAACACAGTGCGAACAGCATTTAAAAATGTGTAAACTGATTTATTCAGGCATCAGGCCGTCACAACAACCCTATACAGCTCATCTAACAGAGTATACACTGTCATCGGTTAAACACTCGTTTATAAATAGACTGTACATCTGTAAAATAAATAATTCACTATTGCGTTATTATAAGTCACTTGGTGTTTAAGGTTTCTGTTCCAGCTTTTGAACGGTCTTGCGCTAAGTGCTACAGGTACAAGCGGCGGTCTTGCAGCGGTCGAACGGTGCAAGCTCAACACACTGGCAGCTCCAGTGTCACATCTCTGTCTCTGCCAAAAAGCTCTCACCCAGTCCTGAAGTCATCAGGACCATCTGGGAGCTGGAAGAGTCTGGAAGGGTCAGAAACAACTCGGTAAATGTCTGTAATGTTTGAAGAGCACAGGAAAAGCCTATTCCAGTTCTGAGACTTTGTCTATTATAGATTGTTTCTTTACAGGGATAGTTCACGTTCTCTCATCTCTTATTAATCTCGCAAACCTGTGTGACTTTCTCTCACTCAGATATTCCTGACCGCTCTCCATTCACACTACTGTTCTAATGTTTGTGGTTGTAAGATTTCATTCCATCATTTCACCTTTGGCTCTGATTTATCAGAGGTCGCCACAGAGGAATGAACCAACAACTACTCTAGCATATGTTATTTACAGCGAATGTATTTAATCCACAAGCGCATGTGTTTGGAATGTTGGGGAAACCAGACACCCAGAGGAAACCCACGACAACACGGGGAGGACATGCAAACTCCACATAGAAATGCCAACTGGCCTAGCTGAGAGATTCAAACCAGTGACCTTCTTGCTGTGAGGCGACAGCGCTACCCACTGTGGGTAGCACAATCGCCTCACAGCAAAAGGGTTGCTGGTTCGAGCAAGTCAGTTGGCGTTTCTGTGTGGAGTTTGCATGTTCTCCTCGTGTTCGCGTGAGTTTCCTCCGGGTGCTTCAGTTTTCCCCCCAAGTCCAAAGATATGCGCTATAGGTGAATACGGTGAGCTAAATTGACCGTAGTGTATGGGTGTTTCCCCAGAGATGGGTTGCAGCTGAAAGGGCATCCACTGTGTAAAACATATGCTGGATAAGTTGGCGGTTCATTCTGCTGTGGCGACCCCAGATTAATAAAGGGACTAAGCCGAAAAGAAAATGAAAGAAATGTTTGAGTAAATCTGATAATGAGCCTGATCAAGAGAGATGGAACTGCACCCCTGGATCAGGATAGCAGGAGACAGAAGCAAAGCGATCTCAAGTCAGCCACAAAACATGGCAGAAAGGTAACTGTGGGCTCCTCTTGAGGTTTAGACAGAGTGAGTCATTTTCGCTTGGAAATAGTGAACTGAATATCAGTTTGAATGTCAGTTTGTTTGTTTGTTTGTTTATCTATGGCTGACCGTTAATGTTTTATTGCACAAAATAATTAAAGACCGTTCAGAATTTTGATGCTTGATTTTGCTATAAGCGCTTGGTAACGTCATGTTCCTGGAAAACTGTGTGGTGGACGTTGGTCTAGGTAACTTTTATTACCTGGTTGTGTTCCGGAAATTATACATTTACAAATGGGCTCTATGCACAGCTAGAGTTTCAAAGCCAGTGATTAACTTCCGGTTTCAATTTCACAAGGTTGTTTTTACAGATGTTGTAATGTAATTAAAATCCATTCAGTTAGACTTAAGCATTCATTTAATTGTTCAAGCGTAAAACAAGGTGAAAGACCGTCGTAACCACTAACGCCGTCAGTAGCAACAGGCTAGCGCAGAAATTCTATACTGGGGTAAAATGAACTGTCATGTTTTAAAAATGGATATTATGGATATTAATGCAGTGCTTCTTGTCCGATCTGAGACCCACTTTACATCGTATATCTAAAAGGTAGTGAAGATCGCTGATTTTTGAAGAGATTAGGTCTTAAACGTGACAATTTTGTAATGGAAAGACACTTTGTGTGCATATAGCCCATTAAGCTCTGGGTAGTACCCAATTCAAACGTGAGATTTTGGGGAAACAGATCTAAATTTACAGAACGGTCAGGTCAGGTAAAAAACAGGGCAGGTTGGGCAGCAGGTGAACAAAGACTGAATATACTGCGGGAGCTGTCCGGTGCAAATAAAACCTCACGGGAACGAGACAAAAAAAAAATATTCCCACACAGACCTTTAAAGTAAGCTCCAAATTGACAAAAAAAAAAAAGTACAAAATCACAGAGAAACAAAAGTTTATGCTAATAATAATAAAAAACATTATTGGGGGGATAGTTCACCCAAAACTGAATTTACTCTTGTTCCAAACCTTTATGAGTTTCTGTTCAACTCTAATAGAAGAAACCTGAAAACCTGTAACCATCGACTTTAAAGGGCACCTATGGTGAAAAGTCTACATTTCAAGCAGTTTGGACAGACATGTGTGTAGGTATATTGTATAGATCGTCATATTGGGGTGATATAAACACACCCCATCCTTTATTTTTTATTTTTTCAATTTAACAACATAAAAACGGTGGACCAATTGGAGCGGTTTTGAGACCAACCGCAACTTGATGTAGGAGTGCGGTCCCCCCGCCCACCAATACTGATGACGCATGCATCGTTACATAGCGGCGGTAAAGCTATACAAAGACACAAATGATTTTGTAACTAGCACTCTGACACATTCTGGCACATTAGGAATATTGATTCCTCAACAGTCGTCTCTGCTTGTTCTGTGTCCGAGTCGTACATGTACGGCTGAATGCTGGTCCTCTCACTCATGTTGCTTCTCTCTGTCTGCCTGTCTGCTGCCATACACAAAGTGGAGGAGCTCTTGGCTCCGCCCTCTTGTTATGTTGAGCGGGGAGTCGAAACACACCCCTAAAACAGCGAGCTGTATACACAAACCCAACATGACACTTTTTAACACATTTTAATAAACAAATCTGAACTGTGTTTTGAACTGAACCTAAACTGGCACACAAAGAAGAGCCATAATATTAATATTAAATCTTAAAAAAGGTGTAAACTAGGTGTCCTTTCATAGCATGTAAAACAAATACTACAGACAGGTTACAGGTTTCCAACTTTCATCAGATGATCTTCTTTTGTGTTCAACAGTCGAAAAAGAGGATTGGAACAAGTACAGGGAGAGTAAAAGATGACAGAATTTGCATTTTTTGTGAACTATCCCTTTAATTCAGTCTCGCGCAAGCTCTGAAACAAACTACAGATGCCATTGATTTTATTTAAAGAGCATTGAAGTAATTAGGTGATCAATTTAAGGTACTTTTGTGTCATTTTGGGGCTTCACAACTCACTTTTACTGTATGATAAACTTCCAGAGTCATCTTCAGCTCAGAAAGAAAGTCATACAGGTTTACAGATGACAGAATGATCATTTGCGGCTGAACTATTCCTTTAAAATGTAACTTTGCTAACCTCTATGTCTAATGCCTTCAGGATATACAGGACTCACGACTCGGCCATTAGAATAAACTCAAGTCTCTATTTCATAAGCAGTAAATGATCTCTCCTAAAGAATGCATGGGGAGGAATGTGAATGTCTGTACTTCCCTTTTGGCCCAGCCTTTTAGAAGCAGATACTGCAGGACAGTCACCCACACACACACACGAAAGGAAAGAGAGAGTGTGAGATCTGAACGAGACAGTCTTGAAGCAGAGATATTTGAGGCAGTGTTCAGCCCTTACTGCTGTGCGGGAGCCAGGCGGGTTTCTCTCGGGCCGTCACCGAGCTGCCGCGGGCCTCTCCGTCTTTATCCTCCTCCTCGTCTCCTTCAGAGAGGAGGTCAGAGATCTGCTGCTGGAGCTCGGGGCTGATGTCGTTCTCGGCCAGGACCAGAACACGCAGGCAGGTGGGGTAATTCTCCACCATGTCCAGGAAGATCTACAGAAGTTGCATCCCAGATGACTATACACATACGTGAGTAAGACATTTCCTAAACAACTTTGCCCTCTAGTGGAGATTTATGGAAAAATCCTCCTCAATATTGAGTTTTGAAGAAAACCAAGAAGGTTTGAGAGCTTTAAAAAACAAAACATCTACTTTTTGCTGACGTCATATGTGATTTGTGTTGACCAGCTGTATTTTTTGTCGTCTATGAAGCACAGGTCGCATTTTACAAACCAGGACTACTGAGGAATTATGGCTTAAAGTTGTGCTTAATCCATTATTTTCCTCCACAATGCTATTTTTCAGCAGGAGGTGATAGGAAAGCAAAGATCAAGGTCCCATAATGCAATTCACAACACCATAAATAAACAAAAAAACATTTGTAAATCGCAAAATACAGAAACTTGTAATTAACAGATATTTTTTACAGTGTACACTCACCGGCCACTTTATTAGGTACACCTGTCCAACTGCTCGCTAACGCAAATTTCCAATCAGCCAATCGCATGGCAGCAACTCAGTGGCATGTAGACATGATCAAGACGATCTGTTACAGTTTAAACCGACCATCAGAATGGGGTAGAAAGGTGATTTCAGTGACTTTGAACGTGGCATGGTTGTTGGTGCCAGACGGGCTGATCTGAGTATTTCAGAAACTGCTGATCTACTGGGATTTTCAAGCACAACCATCTCTAGTGTTTGAATGGTCCGAAAAAGAAAAAATATCCAGTGAGTGTCAGTTCTGTTGGCACAAATGCCTTGTTGATGCCAGAGGTCAGAGGACAATGGCCAGACTGGTTCCAGCTGATAGGAAAGCAACAGTAACTCAAATAACTACTCGTTACAACCGAGAGCATCTCTGAACGCAAAACACTTCAACTCATCTTCTGATGGCTACTTCCAGGAGAATAAGGCAACATGTCATAAAGCGCAAATCATCTCAGACTTCTTTCTTGAACATGACAATGAGTTCACAGTACTGAAATGGCCTCCACAATCACCAGAACCCAATCCACTAGAGCACCTTTGGGATGTGGTGGAACGGGAGATTCGCATCATGGATGTGCAGCCGACAAATCTGCAGCAACTGTGTGATGCTATCATGTCAATATGGAGCAAAATCTCTGAGAAATATTTCCAGTGCCTTGTTGAACCTGTGCCATGAAGTATTAAGGCAGTTCTGAAGGCAAAAGGGGGTGTACCTAATAAAGTGGCCGGTGAGTGTATATATAAAATGTGGAAATTAAAGGGCTAAGGGGTATAATTATCATTGCTCTAAACCTGTCCCTAACCTTAACCGACTTGTTAACTGTTTGCAGTACTGCGTGTGTGATATACCTGTGCTGACTGATTGGTGAGGCCGGTTCCCTCCAGGTCCAGAACTTCTAGGGTTCGACTGGATGCCACTGCGACAGCCAACATCCCAGCAATGTGATCCCCTGAAAACACAAACTGAAGGCTCAGAGCGCAATACGCAATCCTGCTGAATTTCACAGTGCAAACTCTGCACTTCTCCAGCAGACAAATGTGGACACTTCATACCCCGGGGAGCAACGGTCAGCAAAATAAATGTCTCTGTATATATACATCATCGACCCCATCCATTATACTTCAGAGAAAGACATGCGGTGCTTGAAAGACTTATCTGTTAAACCAAAGTGTGTTGCTGATTAAAAAGGCTTTAAAGCTGTACAGTAAGCAGAGGTGCAGTTAATGAGAAACAGAACAGAAAACAGAAAATTCTGTCATCCTTTAGACATTCATGTGTTTGTAATGTCTTAACTATTCTAGTTTTTAATAGCAGATGGTGCTCTAGGCTAGTTTTTAACTGCAGATGACGCTCTAGGCTGTCTTTTAACAGCAGATGGCGCTCCAGGTTTGTTTTTTAACAGCAGACGGTGCTCTAGCCTAGTTTTTAACAGCAGACGGCACTCTCTAGGTTAGTTTTTAACAGCAGACAGCGCTCTAGGCTAGTTTTTAACAGCAGACGGCGCTCTAGCCTAGTTTTTAACAGTAGACAGCGCTCTAGTCTAGTTTTTAACAGCAGACGGCGCTCTAGCCTAGTTTTTAACAGCAGACGGTGCTCTAGGCTGGTGCTCTAGGCTAGTTTTTAACAGCAGACGGTGCTCTAGGCTGGTGCTCTAGGCTAGTTTTTAACAGCAGACAGCGCTCTCGAGGTTAGTTTTTAACAGCAGATGGCGCTCTAGGTTAGTTTTTAACAACAGGTGGCGCTTTAGGCTAGTCTTTATCTGCAGACAGCACTCTCTAGGTTAGTTTTTAACAGCAGATGGCGCTCTAGGCTAGTTTTTAACAGCAGACAGCGCTCTAGGCTAGTTTTTAACAACAGATGGCGCTCTAGGCTAGTTTTTAACAGCAGACAGCACTCTCTAGGTTAGTTTTTAACAGCAGATGGCGCTCTAGGCTAGTTTTTAACAGCAGATGGCGCTCTAGGCTAGTTTTTAACAGCAGACAGCACTCTCTGGGTTAGTTTTTAACAGCAGATGGCGCTCTAGGCTAGTTTTTAACAGCAGATGGCGCTCTAGGCTAGTTTTTAACAGCAGACAGCACTCTCTGGGTTAGTTTTTAACAGCAGATGGCGCTCTAGGCTAGTTTTTAACAGCAGACAGCGCTCTAGGCTAGTTTTTAACAACAGATGGCGCTCTAGGCTAGTTTTTAACAGCAGACAGCACTCTCTAGGTTAGTTTTTAACAGCAGATGGCGCTCTAGGCTAGTTTTTAACAGCAAATGGCGCTCTATGCTAGTTTTTAACAGCAGACAGCACTCTCTGGGTTAGTTTTTAACAGCAGATGGCGCTCTAGGTTAGTTTTTAACAGCAGATGGCACTCTAGGCTAGTTTTTAACAGCAGACAGCACTCTCTGGGTTAGTTTTTAACAGCAGATGGCGCTCTAGGTTAGTTTTTAACAGCAGATGGCGCTCTAGGCTAGTTTTTAACAGCAGACAGCACTCTCTGGGTTAGTTTTTAACAGCAGATGGCGCTCTAGGTTAGTTTTTAACAGCAGATGGCGCTCTAGGCTAGTTTTTAACAGCAGACAGCACTCTCTGGGTTAGTTTTTAACAGCAGATGGCGCTCTAGGTTAGTTTTTAACAGCAGACTGCGCTCTAGGCTAAGTCTGTATAATAACAGAAGATGTACTGGCAGTTTATTACAATGTTTTTGTAGTGTAATGTACAACACCAACCCAGACAATATAGCACTGCAAACTATTTGAAATGTTCATAACTCATCACTTTATTTTTTACTTTTCAAGGTTAATTGTTGTAAGAAAGATCAAAATGCAACTCAAAAGCAGAAATAAACAGGACAAAATATGCAAAATACGTAAAAATACTAATTCACGGATATTTTTAACAGTGTGACGGTCTTATTTAATGTTCTCCACAGACATCTATGCCTCAAACCTGCAGAAAGTCACTCACCCAAGGGATTGTAGTCGAGGTTGAGGACCCGTAATTGTGAGCTGTGAGCCGCGGCGATGGCCAGTCGTGCCCAGCCCTGAGAGCTGATGGCAGGGTTGGCACTCAGCGTCAGCTCTTTAAGACCTGTGTAGAAAATTCATGATCCCATAGAAGAGACTTTTAATTCACCGCTCATGCGCTAGATTTACCATAAAATGAATGTTTTCAATGAGGAATTTCAAGTGCAATTCATAGAATCATCTTTAACTTCCTTAGGTCTTAAAAAAAAAAAAACGTACACAACCGTCACATTCACATTTATAAATCAGCATCATATAAACAATGTTACAAAATAAATTCAGTACAATACTACATAATATAATATTCATTCATTTTCCTTTAGTTTAGTCCCTGATTTATCAGGGTTCACCACAGGGGAATGAATCGACAACTTCTCTGGGATATGATTTATGCAGCGGATGCCCTTCCAGCCACAACCCAGTACTGGGAAACACCTATATACTCTCACATTCACACATACACTCACACATGGCTAATTTAGTTAATCCAATTCTCCTATAGCGCATGTGTTTGGACTGTGGGGAAAACCAGAGCACTTAGAGGAAACCCACGCCAACACAGTAAGGCATGGAAACTCCACACAGAAATGCCACATGACCCAGCTGGGAACTGAACCGTGTCATTCTTGCTGTGATTACCTAAAAGAGAGTTCACCCATACATTTAAATTTTACCATCATTTACTAACTCTTCTTTGAGTTCTCAAACAGGTTTTTAAAAAGGGAAGGGGGAGTAAATGGTTGCAGACACAGTTTTTGTGTGTATTATCTCTTTAATTGTGTTTTTTATTTCTTTTATCACTTTATGGGCTCCCGAAACATTTCCAGCATGTTCTGTGCCTTTATTTAGCTTGTTTCAGTATTTTGATGAAGATATTAGAATGTTGGAAACTGGTAACATTGATTTCCATAGCATTTGTTTTTCCTATAGAAGTCAATGGTTACAGGTTTTCAACATTATTCAAAACATCTTCTTTTGAGTTCTCAAACCAGTTTTTAAAAAGGGAAGGGGGAGTAAATGGTTGCAGACACATTTTTTGTGTGAACTATCCCTTTAATTGTGCTTTTTAATTTTTTTGTTTTGTTTTGTTTTGTTTCTTTTATCACTTTTTGGGCTCCTCCGACACATTCCCATCATGTTCTGCAGCATTATTTAGCTTGTTTCGGTATTTTCATGAACATATTAGAATGTTGTAAACTGGTAACATTGATTTCCATAGGATTTGTTTTTCCCATAGAAGTCAATGGTTACAGGTTTCCAACATTATTCAAAATATCTTCTTTTGAGTTCTCAAACAGGTTTTTAAAAAGTGAAGGGTGCTCCCCCGAAACATTTCCATCATGTTCTGTGCCATTATTTAGCTTGTTTCAGTATTTGATTTCCATCGGATTTGTTTTTCTTATAGAAGTCAATGGTTACAGGTTTAAAAAAGTGAAGAGGGAGTAAATGGTGGCTTTTTTTTGTGTGAATTATCCCTTTATTTGGTTTTTTTATTTATATTATACCTGTTTGTCACGTTTTGGGCACCTCCGACACATTCCCGTCATGTTCTGCGCCATTTTCTAGCTTGTTTCATGAAGATATTAGAATGTTGGAAACTGGTAACATTGATTTTCATGGGATTTGTCTTTCCTACTATAGAAGTCAATGGTTACAGATTTCCAACATTATTCAAAATATCTCCTTTTGCATTCTCAAACTGGTTTCTAACTCAAAAAGGTTTTTAAAAAGTGAAGGGGAAGTAAATGGTGGCTTTTTGTGTGAACTATCCCTTTAATTATATTTCTTTTTTGGGGTTTTTTTAATCTGTTTTGGGCTCCTCCGACACATTCCCATCGTGTTCTGCAGCATTTTTTTTTTTAGCTTGTTTCAATATTTTCATAGTGTTTTTCTTAACTTGCAGTGTGTTTGAGCTCTCTGAGCCACCATATAGGGAACAGTGTGTACAGGTGAAGTTTTGCTGTTTTACCTGATTTGGCTCCATCTGGAGGAAGCAGGCCACAGAGGAGACGGATGGCCTCGTCTCCCAGCATGCAATCTCCCAGATCCAAGGACACCAGCGAGGGATGAGTGGACAGAGCTGTGTTCAGGGTGACCAGGCCTGCATCTAAAAGTGGACTGCCGTGGAGGCTGAAAACAGCACAGCAAAAAGTAGACAGACGTAACAAATCTGTGCTACGTTTACATGCCTTCAAGAAAATGTCAATGCTTTCAACACAGCAAGTAGAGTTTTAACTGCGGCTTCTGCTTAACCAAAATAACGGGCACAGCAGCAACTTCAAGAAAACATTTCATTCATTTTTCTTTAGCTTAGTCCCTTTATTCATGATAGGTCACCACAGCGGAATGAACCGCCAACTTATCCTGCATATGGGGTAAAACAGGTGCCCTTTGAATTCTGATTTCACTTTTATTGTCTGAAAGGTTAAAGTCAAGTATAGCATGTGTCTTTTCATTAATAATATCTCTAATAATCATCATCGCAATGTTGTTCACTTGCATCACACACAAGAGGGTCTATTTTTTTATTAATGTATGTATAATTTGACAGCTCTTGGAATTAATATTAATGAAAATAACATTAACATTCTACAAATAAATAATAAATAAACAAGCAAATAATGATGTTGATGATGAAAAACTGAGTTTGAGATTCCTAAAAGACTATTCACAGTGCAGTCTCCGATTACTTAGGAGGATAAAACACTATTCACTGATATTACAATGACGTCATCGTTTCAGAAAGGCTTGAATAAACTCCACCACAAATACATCAAATAAACTTGGTATTTTTGACTAATGAACTATTTCAGATTTATCAAAGTCGGTCTCTGTCACTGACTGCTGTTTATCTGACGTAACACAATGAGAGGCAGATGCGCACATGGGAACGGTGGGCGGGGAGAAGCAGCTCATTTGCATTTAAAGCCACAGGCTACAAAAACAGCTAGTCAGACACCAAAGTGGGCAGATTCTGAAGGCTATAATAAATAATCTGACGGGGATTTTGAGCTGAAACTTTACAGACACATTCTGAAGACACCAAAGACTCATACATCTTGTCAAAGGAGTAAAATATGTGGCCTTTAAATTCTGATTTATATTTTACTGTTTGAAAGCTTAAAGTCAAGCACAGCATGTGTCTTCCTTAGCATCTCTAATAATCATAATCACAATGCTGTTCACTTGAAGATGTATCACCCGCAAGAGGGTCTATTTAGGCATAATTTGGCAGCTTTGGAATGTGAACATCAACATTCTGCAAAAATAAATAAATAAACAAACAAGTAATGATGATGATGAATTTCCTACAAGAGAGATTCCTGGAAGACCATTCACAGTGCAGTCTCCACATTTAATCTGAGAAAGACCACCATGTGCTGATATTACAATGACGTCATCCAGCTCGCTTGAAATTGGATGGCAAAACAACAGTGGCAGGTCTTCAAACTTAGTACGCAATAGTATGCACACTTTAAGTGCGGATTAAAACCCTTTCAAACGGATGGGAATTTAAGAGCATTTTCAGCATATTGACTGATTTCGCTTTTATTGTCTGAAGCTATAAAGTCACTTTTAGCATTTTTTTTTCTTCCATAATTGTCTAAAACACTAAAGTCAATTATAGCATGCATCTATAATTGATATCTATAATAAACTGTTAGTCAGGTAGCCTAAAGCATGCATCTTTTTCTTCCACAATTGTCTAAAAAACTAAAGTCAATGCATGTTTTCTCTTCCACAACTGTCTGAAAGGTCGATTAAAGCATGCACATTTTTTCTTTCAAAATGGTATGAAACGCTAAATTAAATTAAAGCATGTGTATTTTCCACATTAACATGTCTAATAATCATCATTATTTAAATGCAGTTCGTTTGTCGCGTGTGGATGCATCACTCACAAGAGGGTCTGGATGGATCTGTTGGCCTTCAGCGCATCTGCCAGCTGTTTGGTCCGGCCGATGGTGGACACCACGCCGAGGTTGAGGTTGAGCTGGGCCAGAGAGTGCGACTCCGCCACCCCGCGACACACACGACCAAAGTCCCGGTCTGAGAGCTGACAACCGCGCACCGACAGCAGCCGCACGCTGTTCTCCTTCAGGCTGTCGCATATGTCTTTGATTTCAGCACCGGACAGCGCCTCTCCCGTTATCTGAATGGAGCCCGGCAGCATCTCGGTGGTGTCAGGCTCGCCCAGCGCGCATTATGGATCCTGGAGGTCGGATCTGATGTGTCTAATAGTGATGATAATAATCCATCCGACGCCGGAGCTGGAAGGTGTGGTGCTGCTGATGTTGCTACTACGGTGTTTTGCGCTTGCACATGCTGCTGGAGGATCCTAAACGCGTCCCTCTCTTCAATGCATGAATACTGCTGTTGGTCTGCCTCGAAATGTCGCGTTAAATTGCTCTCATCTCATTGCCCAACAGCGGTATTGGTGAAGCAGGTATTACAGGAGGTAATCCGCCTGAAAGCTGATGCGGGATTGGCCACACGGAGAGTACGTATCTCTGTGTGTGTCACGAGCGCAGCCTACTTCTATTCATTACTCTCTCTAGGGATTATGATGATGGTGGTGGTTACTTGGTTATTGGATGAAAGCTAAATGAATTGCATTAGAAAATAGAATTGAAAACTAGGAAATGTAAGTTAGTTTTTTTTAAGAGGGACCTAGCTAGCAAAATTCATGCGGCTCAAATCCGGCCCACATACAGCATGGAATGATGAAACTTGGGTGGTCCGCTCCTGTTTGCCACACCTGAGCCACTTTATATCAAGTGGCCTTACATACTACATACTTGCATTAAAAATTACAATGTGCTTGTGTTCATATGTGTATTGTGCACCACTTATGGTAAAGGACTAGTTTGGTGGTATTTACAGTCGAAGTCAGAATTATTAGCCTCCCTGTTTATTTTTTCCCCCCAATTTCTGTTTAACAGAGAGATTTTTTTTCAACACATTTCTAATAGTTTTAATAACTCATTTTTAATAACTGATTTATTTTATATTTGCCATGATGACAGTAAATAATATTTGACTAGATATTTGTCAAGACAATTTGTATATAGTTTAGAAACCAATCCCTGTGTACCTTAAGAGTCATGCAATAGTTTCAACAAGGGGCGTCCTTTAAGAGGAGCCATCCAAAGGACCCCATAGGCTTTAATGGCCGCCCTCAGCTGTAAGTAAAAGAAAAAGGAGGAGCTTTGCAGATTAAACTTAATAGAAAGTTCTTCGAAGGTATGGAGGCCATTTTCACCAGATTACCCAATGTGTGAATACATTTGTCATACCATTGTCGACACTGGCCAAACTAAATTGGATGCTTACCAATTAATAAACCGTAGTTATTAAATATAGGAGGATTCCAAGTTTGAATTAATAATACAGACCTTTTCTGCTGCTCTTCAGACTGAGAGAGTGTGATATTAAGGGGCCAAAACTGAGTTTGCGCTTATTTTTTAGGTATATTAGCAAACAAAATTTCATTGAACGTCAACGGAAGAACCAAGTTTTTTTTCAAGTAAATGCCAAAAAACTTCAATTTTATCATCAAACCAGCAAAGTAGGGGATGAAGGGTGAAAGACCAGTTATAAAGTTTGAAATTTGGGAGTGAAAGTCCACCAGCATATCTGTCTCGTTGTATTATAGAAAGTTTGAGACGTGATCGTTTGCAATTCCAGGTAAATTTGGTAATTACTCTCTGTAATCTATCCTAGAAATGAGTAGGAGGTGAAAGAGGCAACATAGTGATTTAGCTAATTTTAAATAAGTAGTCTAAACAAACAGCAAAGTTTTTATTTTTAATTTTTTTTTTGAGAGAGAGACAGAAAGAATAATATATATAAAACGTATAAACGTATATACGTATAAAATGTAGGAATAACAATGAATCAGTATTTTGTTGCTGCACGGTGATAAACAACATGCCATTTCTGTTTAGCTGTTCATGCGGATGCACAAACACCATTCGTCCACCTGCTCATGTGAGGCCTGTGAATAATATATTGAGAGGATCCACATGAATGTCACTTGTCTTTCTCTGAGCAACAGTCTGCGGATGTGCTGGTGGATTGTATGACCAATTGTACCGTAGCGTGTCTGGTTGCATGGCCCTATCCTTGTGTCAGCCTCAGCGAGAGCAGGGAAACGTGAGCCATCAATTCAACAAACACAATCAATTCCTTATGCAGTCCAGTGTATGGACTCACCTTAACTTACCCGGATCACACTGAAACACCGGAGACTAAAAGTAAGAGTGGGGGTGCATTTAAAAATTGGTCATACTTTATTTTAATTCATACAAACCACTAATAATTTATCAAAAAAAAACTGCCTTCTTTCATCTGAGAAATATTGCTAAGTCACGAAGTATGCTATCCATCTCAGATGCAGAAAAATTAGTTCATGCTTTTATGACTTTTAGGTTGGATTACTGTAATGCTCTGCTTGCTGGATGCCCAGCATTCCCTATTAACAAACCTCAGCTATGCCAAATTCCTTCAAACTATTGTGAGAAGCTCGTGGAAGGATACCCCAAACATTTGACCAAAGTTATACAGTTTAAAAGTAAAGCTCAAAACATACCAAGGAAATGTATGAAAACTTTTTACTGTGTGGAAATTAATAAAAAATTCTTTGAAAACAATTCTCACATTATTCTGGCATTTAGCAAATGTAAACGATTTAGGTAATCCTGACGAACCTAAAATAGTAAACATTTAGTGTGATTTACCATCAGACATTTTACCAAAAAAAATGTTATTTTCCTTTTTTAGAGTGTATGTAAACTTCTGGTTTCAACTGTATATGTATATGTATGTGTTTGTATTTCATTAAAAATGTATTTGTTTTTATTTGCACATATTTGTACTATATAGAGCTCAGATATTGGAGAAAGTGACCTTATAAACTTAACTTAAAAGATATACGAGTTCAACTGACTCTTTTTTTTTTTTTTAAGTTTAATAAGTTCTGCCAAGTAAAACTTTAATATACAAGTTGTCAACACATTCAATCCAGATATGTTAACATAACTCAAAATATTAAGTTGTCCCAGCTAATTTGCACAATCGTCTTTTACAGTGTAGTTGCCTCGGTGGAAAACACAATGCATTTCATTTCAGTTACGAAGGCAGCCTCAGGTTTTTGGTGTGGACACAAGGTGACAACACAGTTGGTTTTCTTCAGCGCTACACTGAATTAAAAAATAATTAATGTCAGTTTTTAAGTGGTTGCAAACCATTTTTATGGGCTAAATTTAAACAAAGAAATTAAAGTTGAACATGACTAAATTGTATTAGTTTTTTTTAAATCGAGCCCATATAAACTGTTTGCAACCATCTTTCTTAAAAAAAAAAAACATATATCCAATAAATCATTTTTTCAATGTAGTTCTTTGGCATAGGCTTGGTGTGTCCTGGCCTTTAGAGTCCTCTACCTGCATTAACTTGAATCTCAAGTCTATCAAGTCTAATAAGCTTTGAGCTTATTTCCGAGCATCATCCATTAAGCTGCATCCAATCATTTGGAGTTGTGAAATTGCTGGGAGGGCGGCACCGTGGCTCAGTGGTTAGCACAGTCGCCTCAAAGCAAGAAGGTCACTGGTTCGAGTCCAGTTGGCGTTTCTGTGTGAAGTTTGCATGTTCTCCTCATGTTGGCTTAGGTTTGCTCCAGGTGCCTTTCCCACAGTCCAAAGACATGCGCTATAGGTGAACAAAATTGGCCATAGTGTTTTTGTGTGTGTGTGTGTGTGTGTGTGTGTGTGTGTGTGTGTGTGTGTGTGTGTGTGAATGTGTGTATGGGTGTTTCCTATTACTGGGTTGCAGTCAGAAGAGCATTCGCTGTATAAAACTGTATAAGCTGGAATAGTTGGCGGTTCATTCCAGTGGTGACCCCTGATAAATGAGAGACTAAGCCAAAGGAAATGAAATTGCTTAGAGAGTTCAGCAAGCCATTCACATTCAAAGCATCAGCTAGAGCTGTGTGGATTTCCAATCTATTTAACAGTGTAGTTATTTAAATGGCTTTTACTCAAGTTAAATTTCACAACCCAACAGCTTTAATTCAACTTTTCAGACTTTTGCTGCTTTATTTTGATATGTTTGTACAATATTACAGCACTTAGGTTTGAGGTGTAAAACCCCTAACCATTAGCACTAGACATCTCAGCGCAATGCATCTGATCACAAATGAGGACGACAGCATTTCTTTAATTCCAGGAACCCTTTAAATAAGCTCACATGTAAAAGACAACATAATGAAAGAGCACAGAACTTCCTCACCCCCAGCCATAGCTTTAAATAGGAGGAATCAGACTGCACCAAAATGCCTGGCTAACTGTGGATTAGGAAAAAAAAAACAACAGACTGCATGCACCAGAACAACCTCTCATCTTCAAATTAAAGTTTTTTCAAAATCTGTACACTGAACAAAATAGATTTCTCTACTGTGTCTTAATGAAGAATCAAAATGACGTACGATCGAAAAACAGAAGTGTTATGTGATTTCATCCATTGTCTCAATAACCGAGACATCTCTGAGGACTATTGCACCAATTAATACACTCTCACCAAGTCGGCCAGCTGCATTTAATGTCAAATATAGTGAATTTTTAATTAAGGAATCCTTATATAACCTGAAAATACCATTCTGACATTAGCAGGTCATAGGATCTTCAACCCTTAGCAACAAAAAACGATTAAGACAAGTGTACAGTGAATGTGATAGTGTGTCAAAACGTCTCATAATAACATAAGTCAAAAGGGAAGTCATCTTGACCTAAGAGCATCAATATAGGCCCTTTTTACTGGAACAATATGTGAGATACAAGCTGAGCTTAGACCTAAGGTGCTCAATGGAAACCGCTCCATGATTCTTTTGCCCTGACCCTACATATGTACAGCAGACTAGCTAGACTGTGTGACCTACCCAGAAGCCAAATTTACAATTGCTGTGACTGTACAATCGCAGCTATTGACTTTACGGTGGCATTCACAACAGCACTGGCAACCACAGGAACATCTCTGGCCACTCTCTGGATGGGTGGGATGTTTGGTCCTTCCAAGGTATCCAGAATACCTGAAAACAGACAAAAAAAAAAATTGGTAAAAACTGTAGCTAACACTGCAAAATCCTGACCATTAAGCTGTTTTAATGCGTACACCCACCCCAACCCCCAGTGACAACACTTAGAAGAAGTGCAAGGAAGGAGGAGCTGGAGCTCAAGCTCCCCTTTGCTGGTGCTCAGCTCTGGCCAAGTGGCTCTGCAGTGAGTACCACTTGATAGCTTTTGACAACATTGGCCATTCACCAGCAATAAACAGATAAGTCACTGAAGCAAAGTCCAGCAAAGTCACAATAAGAGCTTAGCGATATGACACTATACATAAACTCGCGTTAAACATGAATATTCAGCATGTGTCTGTTGCCTCATTACAAACAAACATGGCACATTTCACAACATGTTAAACTATCAAAAAAAAGTACATTTAAACAGACTGTATGACCCTTTGGGGCGACACTGAATACATTTACAATCTGTATATCCTGCATTTTGCATTAAAGAATTGCTTACTCTTCCTTAAAGGCTGGTTTATACTTTAAGTGATCAGCGTGTCAACCCTCCCGTTTTTCCCGGGATTCTCACATATTTTACAGTTATATCCCACTATTATCCCGTAAAGGTATTTTCCTGTATTTTCAGTGTTTCTCTGAAGGGTGGCAAGAAACATTAAAGAGCCGAGCCTCCCTATATGCAACCCATACCGCTGAACCACCAGGGGCCGCCCCTTGCTCTTAAATGTGAGCCTGTTCTGTGCTTTCGCTTTGTTTAGGTACCAAAACACTTTTAAATAAATATAAATAAATATATTCCCAAACAGATTCTGTACATGCGATTTGGAAGCGGAGCGAAAGTCTGGGTTTTGGGTGCATGTTTAAACAGATATATACACATAATGAATAATAATAATAATATCTAAAGATGTTGATCTTGTTTTTTTTTCTCTTAAATAAGCATAAAAAGTTAAGAAAGCAGTCGAATGTCTTCATTATATTGTTAGATGTGTGCATTATTAAAGTGACACCTGTTATTTAATGTAATTAAACGAAAAAAATCTAAATAAATAAGAGATTCATTCATTGCTCTTTAATCAGAATGTGTGAGTTACAGTGAAAAAAATGACTAATGAGATTTGGTAGCTTGATTCTATTTTATTATAATAGCTATTCATTTTAAAAAGCTAAACTGTTTGCTAATGTAGGCTATATATTTATTTTTTCTTTTGTGAATAATAATAACAAAACATATTATTGACCATTTAACTGTTTATTTACAATGAAACAGCTCCAAATGAACATATTTAGGAATTTGGGGATTGTTTAAAGGAGGTTGAGGGGAAGATCCCTTATTATGGTGGGCATATCCCTTATTTTCACATCCCAATGTTGACAGGTATGGCGTGATCCACGGCGCATGCCTTGCGTGTTGCTGTGCATTTAAACTTCCGCGTGCTGTTTGTGTTGCTCTGCAATAACACTTCAGAAACACTAGCTAGTAGTAGATTTTTAATGTTCCTCTGTGTCGAGTTTCTTCGCTGGTGTTTTGTTTTTTCTAAACGCTACCTTAAATGTACAAGTAGCTAAAACTCGCTTATTCAGAGTCGGGAATTGGCGGACGTGTGACAACTTTAATCATAAGGTAAACACAAAACAAAAGTCTCCATCTGGAGCTCATTCACGGGACTCCACACTAAAACACTCACTCCAACAGGCTCACATTTCTCCCACACTCGTCACAGCTACCAAGCTGACCAATCACAGAGCTTGTGATATGCCTTACTGCGATGTGTAGTTACATTTATTGAGAGGTGCATGTTACTGTCTGCCTCAACCACGGATCATATGCGTTTGGTTGACGCAGAAGTATAAATCAGCCTTAAAGCTTGTACTGCTTACAAAATAAGAGTCCCACATACATAGTAAGCTTGGATAAACTTAAAAATAAGGGGAAAACTATCATTGTTTAAATTTACTAGGAAAATTCAATATATTCTGCTTTTCACACAGTTTTGTTTTACAAAAGAATGAGGAAACATTAGTGACCATGTACTTAACTCCTATTATTCAGCTAAGTCTAGGCATATCCTGATTTTTATTCTATAGCACCTTTAAGGAGAATTAAGTGCTAACACTACAAAGTTATACCAGGTTAGACTAAACACCAGAGTAAACCAGTAGGATGTAATATATTGTGTGACATTAGAAAGCCCAAACACAGGGGATATACATTTACCCTGTGATCAATGGTACCAATTGCATTACATTATTTACATTAGAAAGGTAACAAATACATGTAGAACAAGACAACAGATTCTGATCATACTGTTCACTGTGCTACAGATGAGTGGCATTTTTCAAACTGGCCTCATTTGAATGGGCTAAAAATAGAGAGCACCAAAAACACATAGGTGCTCAGATGTCTAATATTAGATTTAAGAGTGAGTTTCAATTACTAAAGGTCACAATAATGCCCTGGAGACATTCTCATGCTTGGTCTATATGATTATAGAATTGGATGACACACTTCAACGGGTTGTTTTATACATATACAGGCCCTATTTACACCTAGTGTTTAGATGTGTTTTTGTTGACCCAATGATAAGTGGACAATACTAAAAACAGATGTAAATTGTTTATCCACTTATGACCTCTTTCAAACTATTTTTCAATCCCATTTTTATTCAAATCCTTGACCTTTTCCCTCCCCCAACACTCCCACCCAAACAGAGCTAGACACACCCACTTTCCTGACTTTCTCCATACTAGAGGTATGAAAACACCCTGCAAAAACGGGGGGTTTCATGGCCCTTTAAGATATCCGAATGTAAAGGACTCATTTGCTCGCAGATTCATTACCTTCAACCATCTTATGGTAAGCAAAGTGCAGGTAGAGCAGAAACAGCATGTGCAGAGCAGCCAGAGAGCCACACAGGATGAGGCGAGGAGTCTGACCAACGGTCCGGGAGATGAGCACAGCCACCTGAGAAAAACACATGACAGTACCATATGCTGAAAACACATCCTAAAGCAGGAGTGCTCAACCCTGTTCCTGGAGATCGACCTTCCCAGAGATTTCAGCTCAAACCCTGACCAAACACACCTGAATCAATTAATTAGGACCTGAACAGCCCTTGATAATTACAGGCAGTTGTGTTTAATATAGGTTGCAACTGAAATCTGCAGGAAGGTAGATCTCCAGGAACAGGGTTGGTCACCCCTGTCCTAAAGCAATACATGCATAATCCCGGTCCATGTTAATCTTACTTAATTATGGGTTTTCTGAAAATTCTGATTGGTCAGTCGTGACATGCAGGGATGTCAAACTCAGGCCGCAGCCCTGCACAGTTTAGTTCCAACCATGCTTTAACACACTTACCTGTAGATTTCAAACAACCCTAAAGGACTCAATTAGCTTGATCAGGTGTGTTTAATTAGGGTTGAAACTAAACTGTGCAGAGCTGCGGCCCTCCAGGAACTGAGTTTGACTCCTGTGTTCTAAGGTATGTTATTCAAAGATAACAACCACTAAATAACACAGACTCACCCAGAAACTTTGAATCACCTTGACCATCAGTGAATACATTCATACGTATCTGCTTGTCTGTCACTCTGTGGTTTTTGACTGTTTGGTGCCATCTTGTGACTGAATAATGCACAGGTTAGTGTATACTCCATCAGCTGTTTTCATTTCTGTTACCTTTGTGTTTAACGATTTAGTAAACTAAAATGGATCAGAACAATGTTTTGTGTGTAACTTTGATATTTTGCAGCAGGTAGCCATGTAATAAGTGAAATAAAGTCATCCAGATTGGTTGTTTTTTGCAGAACAAAGCCCTTCAGCCTTTTACTCTGCTTTGCATCTGGCTGTTATTCTGCGATAACAACCTCCTAAATGTACCTTATCAGTAACTTACCATACGCAGAGTAGAGAGTCCTCCAATCACCATCCAGAGAAGGTAGAAGAGCGAATGGAAGTGGACGTTGTAAGTGATGAAAAGGACCACACAGTGGCCAAAGAGACCATAACCCTGAAAACAAACAAACAATCTTCAACATAATGTAAGCCAAATATTCCCAGCATTAAAAATGGAAGTCATCAATCCCTTCTACTGGATGATGTGATGTAAACTTACTAGCAAAGACAGCATCTGCAGCATGGTAATTTGAGCATTGCAGAGGTAAGCAAGGAAATAGATGAAGGAGGACACTCCCAGCCAGTACCCAAAACCGGTTCCAATGGCAGTGCCCATGAGCGTGCCCTCTCTCTGTTTCAACAAACAAACACTGGTTGTAAGCAAGAGCACTGTGGTGAAGAAAAACATTCAGGGCATTAAAGTCTGCATGACGTTTCTTATTGGCATCACTGCTTACAATGACTGTTCCTGAGGTCTTCATGCCATGGAGCAGAATAGCCACCAGTGTGAACACCAGCATCATTGGTCCATACAGCTCTCCTGCCACTTTCTGGGTTTAAAAGATAAAAAGTGCCACATGAAGCAAAAAAAACTATTTGATCAGCAAATCCTGTGTCCTGTGTGTCACATTAAACTTTCTTCACATATTTAATGAGTACAATTAAACTTGGTTTCTGTTGTTTAATTCTTAAAGGGCACCTATTTTACCTCTTTTTAAGATTTAATATTAATATTATGGCTCTTCTTTGTGTGCCAGTTTAGGTTCAGTTCAAAACACAGTTCAGATTTGTTTATTATAATGTGTTAAAAGTGTCATGTTGGGGGTGTTTACACAGGTCGTTGTTTTAGGGGTGTGTTGCTTCACATGAAAATTAGTTTCAACTTCCCGCCCAACTTAACAAGGGGGCGGAGCCAAGAGCTCCCCTCCTTTGTGTATGGCAGCAGACAGGCAGACAGAGAGAAGCAACATGAGTGAGAGGACCAGCATTTAGCCGTACATGGACGACCCGGACTTGGACACAGATCAAGCAGACAGTATTGTTGAGGAATCAATATTCCTAAAGTGCCAGAATGTGTCAGAGTGGTAGTTACAAAATCATTTGTGTAGTTTTACAGCCGCTATGTAACGATGCATGCATCATCCGTATAGGGATGCAACGAATAACCAGTTTCACTTTAATTTGAAACAGTAATTTATCATAAAGGCATCTCAACACCGTGTTTCTGCACGGAACAAAACTGCAGCAACTAAACAAAGTCATGCCAGCTGCGTGCTAATTTAAAGTTCCGAGCTTGTAATAATAATAATAATTCCTTACATTTATATAGCGTATTTCTGGACACTCAAAGTTCTTTACACATTGGGGGGGTGTCCTCATCCACCACCAGTGTGCAGCATCCACCTGGATGACGCGATGGCAGCCATATTGTGCCAGGTCGCACACCAGCGGATTGGTGGAGAGGAGACAGATGAAGCCAATTATGATATGAGGAGGCCCTAATGGACAGTGGGCAAATTTGGCCAGGATGCCGGAGTTAAACCCCTACTCTTTTTCGAAGGACATCCTGGGAGATTTAACGACCACAGAGAGTCAGGACCTCAGTCTCATGCGAAAGATGGCGCCCACTGAGCAGTATAGAGTCCCCCTCACTGTACTGGGGCATTAGGACTCACACAGACCGCAGGTTGAGCGCCCCCTGCTGGTCTTACTAACACCACTTCTGGCAGCAACCTAGCTTTCCCATGTGGTACACAGAGACTAATAACCACGCACACTGGATTAACTTTGACTGAGGCTATAACTAAGGCAAGTATGTTATTTCCAATGGAGGGACGCGTACGCGAGGCAACACGTTTGCATTTTCCACCTGCACCTAGTTGAGATGACAGGAAGCTTCTGTGACCTCAGGAAATGCAAACTGCTGAAGTTTAAGAAAGACACAATGAAAAATGCACTGGTTTGCAAACCCACCTAAAGTTACAAACAACAGCGTGGATGAGAGCAATCATGTGGTGAATGTTGATCCGTCAGCCGAGATCAATCAAATGTTTTGGGAGAGAGTGCTGACTCGGTGTATCAGCTGTTTTTAATGGTCCGAATCTCGATACGTTGCATTAACGACGTGTTCTGCGCAAATGGGCGCTAAATGTAAAATCTCTGTTGCTCATTCGCAGGAAGACAATGAAGGCTCTTGTGTTGCGCCCAATGAGCCTTAAGCCTGATTTATACTTCTGCGTCAAGTGACCGGCGTAACCCACGGCGCATGCAACGCGCGTGGCTGTGCATTTATACTTCTGCGCGCTGTCTCTGTTGGTCTGCGTTAACACTTCCGAAACGCTAGTGGGCAGTGAGGTGTAAATGTTCCTCTGTGTCGAGTTTCTTCTCTGCTTTTTTGCTTTTCCTGAACACTTCCGGGATGTACAAGTGGCTTAAACTCGCTCATTTTGAGGCAGCAACCGGCCGACGTGCAGCAACTTTAACTATGAGGTAAACACAAAACAAAACTTTCCATCCGGAGCTCTTTCAAGGGACTCCACACTTGTAAATTCGCGCGGCTCTCGGTCCTGCCCAGACTCGTCAGCGCTACCAAGCCGACCAATCACAGAGCTTGCGCTACACGTTGTTGCGACGTGTAGTTACATTTTTTGAGAGGTGCACGTCAGTGACGGCGACGGCCACGGCGAAGGGCTATGCGTCAGCGCCGTAGCATATGCCGGTGTTTGACGCAGAAGTATAAATCAGGCTTTACATCTAAAAATAGAGCAAGGGTGTTCCTTTGGTGACACCGCTTTGACTCACTCGCTAAAAATGGCGACGTCGATCTCAAAATCGCTCCAATTGGTCCATCGTTTTTATGTTGTAAAATTTTTTGAAAAACAAAAATAAGGACTGGGTGTGTTTATAACACCCCAATATGACAGTATATACACTACACTTACACACATGTCTGTCCAAACAGATTGAAAAGTAGATTTTTCACCATAGGTGCCCATTCAGGCCGTACTCACACTAGGTACAGTTGCCTCGAACCGGGCCAAAGCACGCTTGTCCCCCCCTCCCATCTCCCCCGACGGCCCGCGCTCACACCATATCGGGCCTGGGCACGCTTACGTCATCGATGCTGCGCTGTTCAGTGAGAATCGCTTTCACTCAGCAGCACAGTGGAGATTTCTCTAGTTATATCGTTTCAGTCGTTTCATATGCAGTGACATGCAGTCAAATCAAGACATGAAACAGTCCCTTAAAGTCACGTCTCGCTTTCAGCTTCGGGCTTCGTGATTCAACGCACTCACACTTCTCAAACGATCCGTGAAACGGGCCTGGGCACGGTTCGGATAGCATAGTGTGAGTAGGCCCTAAGGCTAGCATTATCAATCTTACCTGTGGAAAGTTGATCATTCGGACTGGGATCAAGGATTCGACCAGCCTGCAGATTAAAAAGTTGTTTAACTTCAGAATCAGAGAAGATGCCGGAGTAAATAGTGTGAATCTGCTACTAGCCTGATGTGCGTCTTACCTGTTTCTCACTTGAATAGGCTCAACATCAAAGTATGGCCGGAGAATGTCAATATTAGCATAGAGATTGAAAGCTTTCGAGGCCTGCCGCTTTCCTGCCTGCCATACCTGTGTAGATACAAGTTACATCAATGTATTTTGTGACAAGGCTTAGGGGTACATAAGCAATGGCTGGTATGAACCATCATGCCAATACTGTGCAAATACATTTGAAATGAAATAAAAATGCAAGATCAAATGTTCTCACCTCATCTGCAACCTGTCTGCCCAGCTGTCCCTTCAGGCCCTTCATCCCGAGGAATTCTCCATATTCTCCGTTGTCCTCCTCTGTGGCCGCAGCCTCGGCGGTCACCTCCTCTTCCTCCCTCATCCGCTGATGCATTTCTCCCACATCCTCAAAGCTGGATCCAGAGGTGTCATCCATATTCTCCATGTCTATCACCGCCGAGCCGGTGCCCTGAGGTCAGTCACAGAACATTAGATGCTGTCTTAAGAAGTCTCAAGTCAAAGCCACATCTCAGTTTAGCTACAGCATGTAATGATGTCATGAAGGAGAGCACGGTTTACTAACGACTCAATGATGTTTGTTCAATAAACTAAAATAATGCTTGATACAACACTGTGGTTAGATGTACTAAGGTCATCCAATACCTTAACCCAACTACTGCCTTAACCCTAACCTTATTTCAATAAGTAGGACATGTTCCTGGTTTACATCCATATTGATCCTGGAACAGCATTCCAATCAGCCAATCAGAATTAAGGGATATGTTCACAGTTCATGTTAAGTTTAGGCTTACGGTTAGATTAATGCACTTCTACATGATTGTTATCCAACTATTATTCCCCTCTGATTTTGGGAATAATTGACAGTTATGGTTAGGTTTAGGGGTAGGGAATAGGTATAGATTACATTATCATCAGCACAGATGTTAATGCAGGAAAACATCGTACTTGGCAAAATCATGCACTTACTTACCAAGTATTAATTAGTAGTTTATTGAGCTAAAAGTCTTAGTTAATTGTTTGTTAAATGGGTGAATTGTACACTTACATAAAGTGTCACACTAAATGATTATTTATTTTCATGCATTGGATTATGATGTGACCCATTAAATTTAATTTTAAATGCTTGGAAACATCTTAAAAGTAATTAAAAAGCAATATTTCGTTCTTTTTTGTGATCTAAACACATTTATGGACCCTGGCAGAGGACAAAATGTGCATAAACTGTGATGTAAACACATTTATTGACCCTAGTAGAGGAAGAAATGTGCATAAACTGTGATCTTAACACATTTATTGACCCTAGTAGAGGAAAAAATGTGCATAAACTATGATGTAAACACATTTATTGACCATGATAGAGGAAAAATTGTGCATAAACTGTGATCTTAACACATTTATTGACCCTAGTAGAAGAAGAAATGTGCATAAACTATGATCTTAACACATTTATTGACCATGATAGAGGAAAAATTGTGCATAAACTGTGATCTTAACACATTTATTGACCCTAGTAGAAGAAGAAATGTGCATAAACTGTGATCTTAACACATTTATTGACCCTAGTAGAAGAAGAAATGTGCATAAACTGTGACCTTAACACATTTATTGACCCTAGTAGAAGAAGAAATGTGCATAAACTGTGATCTTAACACATTTATTGACCCTCGTAGAGGACAAAATGTGCATAAACTGTGATGTAAACACATTTATTGACCCTAGTAGAGGAAGAAATGTGCATAAACTGTGATCTTAACACATTTATTGACCCTAGTAGAGGAAGAAATGTGCATAAACTGTGATCTTAACACATTTATTTACCCTAGTAGAAGAAGAAATGTGCATAAACTATGATCTTAACACATTTATTGACCCTAGTAGAAGAAGAAATGTGCATAAACTGTGATCTTAACACATTTATTGACCCTAGTAGAGGAAGAAATGTGCATAAACTGTGATGTAAACACATTTATTGACCACGATAGAGGAAAAATTGTGCATAAACTGTGATGTAAACACATTTATTGACCACGATAGAGAACAAATTGTGCATAAACTGTGAAGTAAACACATTTATTGACCCCGGCAGAGAAAAAAAAAACTTGCGACATAAAACACAATTATTGACCCCAGCAGTTATAATAAAAAAGTATTATTATTTATTTTTCTAATCTTTTTATTAACATTTTGGTCAATAAAACAACAATTTCAAAAAGATCTGAAAAACAGAGACTAAAGCGCAAATATTTCAAGTACCTTTTGTAAAAAAAAAAATCTAACTGCAAGTTAAATAATGTTCTTTCATCCTTTAGAAAAGACAGTTTTATGAAAAATAATACAACATAATTATTCTGACCTGTACTTGTTAACGTAATGCAAGTTATGTAAGATGTAAGTTATCATACTTCACGTCAATCAAAATGATTAAAAATGTCTTGCTTGCAAATGAGTAAAATATAAAGATTTAGGGCGATATGGTGGCTCAGTGGTTAGCACTGTCGCCACGCAGCAAGAAGGTCGCTGGTTCGAGTCCCAGGTGGGTCAGTTTGGGTTTCTGTGTGGAGTTTGCATGTTCTCCCCGCGTTGGCGTAGGTTTCCTCCACAGTCCAAACACACACGCTATAGGTGAATTGAATAAACTAAATTGGCCGTAGCGTAAGAGTGTAAATGGGTGTTTCCCAGTACTGGGTTGTGGCTGGAAGGGCATTCGCTGTGTAAAACATATGCTGGTGGTTCATTCCGCTGTGGCGACCCCTGATAAATAAAGGGACTAAGCCGAAGAAAAATGAATAGATGAATGAATATAAACTTTTAAAACGCATTTAATTTAAACTTGTAACAAAACAAAATAATAATAATTATGGCTTTGATATTAGCAACCACCAAATCCCTTGGTTTATATTATTTTGTATGTGTTTTGGTTTGATTTATTTACTCAATTTATATGATGTTATTTATGTATTGTATTTATTTGTTTAGTATTGTTCTGCTTTTATGTTAATGCTCTGTATTTGATATCAGTATGCATTTTTTGCAGATAAGAAAATCAATAAAAAGTTCAAGCCATGAAAACACTAAATTTTTTAGTATTTTGGGTCTGTGCTCCTTAAATAAAATAAAATCATCATCATTTAAAATGATTCTTGTCAAATAATCCCTGACAAGATTTTTGGTAACGTTATATAAACGTTAGATTGTTCCACTAAAGGTCATTTGACATCTATAAACCATGGTAAAAACTGTTGTTTATATTGTTGAACATTTTGCTCTGAAGAAACACAAATAAACAAACAGGCCATATTGAAATATACTGAGATAACTATGCGCTGTTTTGACATTTAAAATTGCCTGTTTAACGTTGACCGATGTACAAAATTGTTTGACAAAGGTTATACAACACATTTGAGTCTTTAGCTTATTGTATTTTAAACACGTTGCATACATTTTACAATTAATGAGCTAAACAATGTACATAAGTCGAAATGAAACTGAACAGCACCACAGTGGTCCATTTCAGGTGCTAATGGTCAAAGCAAACTAACGATTTGCTAAATAGATCAAATGTATATTATATTACTGTAATAATCATGAGCAGAAGCAAATTACCTGAATAATATTGTCGTCAAAACCTCCCCATGGTTCCGCGTTCGTGTTTTTGCTTCCTTGTGATGCCGACATTGTTTTGCACTGACAGCCACAATAATATAAACGGAAACTTTAGCTAATTAGATTGCCAAAATATTGCTATCTATGGTTTGATTTTGGTGTTCATTGTAGTTTGATTTTAAAACGATTTACGCGGATTGTTTGGCCAGCTGTACAGTGCTGGGACTAAAATCCGACGTAATGACGACTAAATGTCTGACGCTACTTCCGCTAACGTTAAGCGTAGACCAAAACTTCCTGACAAACCAGTCATTGGAACTGTATGTTCATCCATATTGTCATAATAAATCGAATTTAAACGCATATAAAAATGACCTATGTTCAATGACATAAAACATTGTAGTTTTAATGAGTTAACCCGAAGCAATTATGAGCATTCATGCCATGTCAAAATAAAAGTCCTATTACGTAACGTTAGGCTTATTTATAATAAAGATCTGTGTTTTTCCTTCATCTTATTTGATGCTGTGAAATAAAATGTTTCATTTTGCTTACTTCTTAAATCCATTAAATAAAAATTACTTGTATGGATATATTGTGATTTATAATCATTGTAAACATCCGATAATAAATTATTTCACGCAAAAGAAAATGTATTTAGATATTTTACATAATTATTTCTATCTATCTATCTATCTATCTATCTATCTATCTATCTATCTATCTATCTATCTATCTATCTATCTATCTATCTATCTATCTATCTATCTATCTATCTATCTATCTATCTATCATTATTCATGACATTATTCATGAATTCATGACATTTTTCAAACTGTGGCTGAAAACTGAAATACTGTAAAAAAACAAAACAGGCAAAAGTAATAAAATACTGTGAATATTAGAGAAAACACATGTAAACTAATATACAGTCAAATATATTGGGAGTATAGGACATAGCCACTATTGACCTCCTCCATCAATGCTGGCACAGAACAACACAGACCTTCCACCGTTTTATAAGGTTTGCAGAATGATGGCTAATTGAAGATTTGTGTGAAGGAGTGTCAAACCGGTGCTTCAGTGATTTCATACTGATGTTGGTAGTTTTTATTAGTTAGGAATAGTTTCTGTTTGGTTACCATAACTAAAACAATGGAGTTTGGACTGCTTGAATGACATCTGTGTTAACTGTTTTGAAAAATGGTGGGGAAAATGTGTCAACCCAATGAGAAAGGGTTTACACATTTGAAAGACCTGTCTAATAGGGATAGTGATAATGAAAATGAAGAGGAACCTAGTTTCTTTAACCAGGTCAAAGCAAACAAGAAAAAACTGTAATCAAAGCACATCTTATTCTGGATCCAATTCTTTGCAAAAAGGCAAATTTGACAGCCCAAATAGAAAGACAACAAATGCTATTGGCAATACAATGGCAAGCAATGGTGGTGCACTGAGTTCTGTATTTTGTACTTTGTTGTACATTGTGTAATGATTAATTGAAAGACTGCATCAAAGCAATTGAGAAAAACTGTAATGCATGTCCAAACGCATTTGCAATTTGCTGGAAGGAATGAGAAACTGCTACTATGATGTGCACAAATGACTAACTGTTTTGAGAAATGCATTTACTGTTGTGCAAATGTAAACAGTGTTGTGAGAAATGCACCAAAGCCACTGAGAAAAACTGTAATATAAATATAATAATATATAACATAACTAAAATAATATAGAATAATATTCAGACATGTTTATGTTCGTTTTTAGACAACATAATGCCAATATTTTACCTTCCAAATAGTAAAATTAATAAATATTAATATTTGTGGAATACAAATATAAAAAATATTAATATTAATATTTGGTTAAACATATTTGACTATTTATCATGATTTTTTTTCATTTGTTATTCTTTGCAATTGTGATTTTCTGAAGTAAAAACTGCTAAATGACAAAGGTTTTCATTTATAATAAATGTTTTCAGATCTTTACAAAAATATACAAAATTTTCTCAAGCAAAAATCTGATAAATCCAGTAAAAGGTCTGTATTTTATGTTTTACGATTTCTTTTTTAAGACATTTCTGCAACTATCATTTCATTTACTACTGCTACTAATAAATACGTGATATTGTTTTCAATGGCCACCAGATGGTAGCATCATACTTAAAAACGCAATCACAGCATCGCGAGATTAAGTTCTGTCGCGGTGTTATCTGATCTCCTCTGACATTAGCCTCGCGGCCCGGCTAGAGAGTAAGCACGAGAGGACGCGGCAGTATTTCTTCCCAGGAGGGTTTATTATATTAATAAAACCTTCATTTCCACACTAGGATACCAGGTCACCCAGGTATGTATTCATCGAAACTTTACATATGATGTTTTGATGAGTATTTAAACTGTTAGCTAATATGGCGCAGGAATGTGAATGTAGGTTAGTGGAGGTGACCACATGAGATCGCGCTGTTTAGTATCAAAAATACGTTTATGTTATTGTCATAGTGATATATTGATGGTATTAACAAATTTATTTAATACATCGAGTGTCGTTTTAATACATATTTTTAAATATATAGTATTTAAGACTTCAGTTCACCGTGTTCCCCGGCACATTAATACTAAAAGGGGCTTCAGACGGGCGACATGTTGGATATATTTTCATCGTCCACTTCATATTTCAAGTCTTTGGTTTATTTAGGCTTTCTTATGATTTCACATGTCTTGAATAAGCGTGCTTTTGGCTTGTGTCCAACTATTTCGTAATAGTTGGTGAATTTTATCATTGCAAGTGATGTAAAGGCAGTGAAAGTGGTCACACTTTACAAAAATGTCTTATTAGTAAATGCTACACTGTAAAAACTATGCATAATTTAGTAGTTTTTCATATTTTGTTTATATGAAACAAGGTTTCAGATGTTATTTATATTTATTCTTCTGAATAGCATAATGAGACCTTGATAATTCTTAAAAAGTTGAAGAAAAGTGAATTTTAATAACATTAAATTTTTTTTTTAAGTGATATATTGTCGTTGGTGTTATATATATTATGGTACAAAAAACCTTGTAAAAAGCTGCCAGAAAATCATTTTGTTATTTTACAGATTTATTTCTATATATTTCTTCTAAAACATTCATACAAACTACTGAAATGTCAACAAAAGTCACTGTTAAACTGTAGAGTTCAACATCAAAACTTGACAGAGCAGGGATCAACATCCCATAATGGAACTCACAATCGCAAATAAACAGAAAACACAAAATAAGGAAGGTGTTTTAACCAAGAGGTAAAGTTGGTTTTATGTTCGCACATTCATTTATTTAGAAGTCTCTATATTGTTTACCATGTTACTTTTGAATATTGATCGTAATTAGCACGCAAGTATGACTTGAAAACAACATTAACACTGTTTATTTGACTGTGAACAATGTTGTACTTTGATAGCCATTGGCTGCTAATATGATTTCGCTATTTAGAGTTTGCAAATAATACTTTTACGAAATTATATTATTAAGGTGAAAGTCTAAATGTGTGAATATAAAACCAACTAACTTTACCTCTATTTAATTAACAGATATTTTTTACAGTGTCGTTTTTACTAACACAAATTAAGATTGAGGTGAAGCTGGTTTTATATTCGCACATTTGTTCAGTCACTTTTTGTTTTTGTCATGTTACTTTGAATATTCGTTCAGAAATCGCATGTTAGAATGACTTCAGAATGATATTAGCACTGTTTAATTGACTGTGAACTATACTTTGATAGTTATTGGCTGCTAATATGATCTCCCTATTTAGAATTTGCAATGTATACTTGTCTAAAATAAAATTATTAAGGAGAAAGTCTGAATGTGCGAATATAAAACCAACTTTACCCCAATCGAACTAAAGAACATAAAATACTAGTACACAGGACTGTTTAGTATATCATTTCAGAATTGGCATTGCAATGTGATCATTCACAATACTTGCATCACAGGATATACAATGTTGAGTTGGTGTTATAATTGATCATTTGCATGCGTTTTTGATGCCTGTGATTGTTTAATGATATTAAAAACATTCAGGCATAAGAAATAGTACCATTTGTGACCTTAACCATAATTAAGTTTATTGAATTATTTTTATTTTTATCATTCATTTACTGCACTTGAATACTTTTAGACTCGGGAAATGCTAAAACGCTTTTTCAGTTGTTTCTTTTTCTTCATTGTATTTATAGATTGTTATGCATGAAAATACTCACAACACGTGCAATTACAGAAATGCACTTCAAAAAATAGCACAGACCACAACGGAAATTTGTTGAGGGACCCCCAAATGTTTATAAATTGATTATTAGATTTCATGGAGATGCAAATAGTATAGATTAATTTATTAATCTCTGACTGAAAATACTCACAACACATGCAAATAAAGAAAAGCACTGCAAGTTGCACAGACCACAGCAAAAATTCAGTAAGGGACCCCCAAATGTTTATAAATTGATTATTAGATTTTATTAAGATGCAAATAGTTAACGTTAATTCATCAATCTCTGACTAAACACGTGCATGAAAATACTCACAACATGCGCAAATAGAGAAACGCACTGCAAATATCACAGTCACAACGAAAATGTATTGGGGATGCATTCCCACTGTAGAATCATCCCAATCATTCTAACATTATAAATTCTTTCCAAGTAAAGATATTACGTCATCTGCTGAAATTGTATTCATATAACAATATATATTACAAAAAATTTTAGATTTTTTTCGTGCAGCCCTAGTAGTTTAAGACTTTAAGCAAATAGACCCTGATTAAGAAATGATGTTAATCGGGGTCTATTTGCTTAAAGTCTTAAATCTCAAAAGCTAAATTTTAGGCCTTTAAAAGTCTTAAATCTACAGAAATATCATGTTGTAGGTCTGAAATCTTTTTTGTTTTTAAACGCTTAACTTATTTAAAAGTAGCATTTAATTACTGTCCTTACAGTAACATTTGTTTAAAAGTTCTCCATTTATTTTCATGCTGAGGATACTGACCTATATATTTTTATTATTAAGTTATTATTATCGTCTTATTACATGTATTAAATTATCATTTTTTGATAGGGCAAGTAAAAATCTTTTCCAACTGGGATATTCAAATAAAATCCTTAGCAATTAGCCCTTTAAAAGTCTAAAATTTTATTCATAATGGTCTTAAAAGGTCTTAAATTTAACTTGGTAAATCTTGCAGAAACCCTTTTTAATTATAGGTAAACATTTACTAGTGCATTATTAAAATCCCAAATCATGCATGTTAACTTTAAAGCACTGTGAGTTAACTTGAACTTCATTTTCTTTAATAACTAATGCTAACAAAAATTAATCAACATTGTAATAAATGTATTGTTTGTTCATGTTAGTAAATGCTTGAACTAATGCAAACTTATTGTAAAGTTTGACCGATAAAGTGAACATCACAATTAGAAGTCGTAATGTTACATAATAAGCATGCATATTCAGTTACCCTTTGAAAGACTTATCAGCATCCGACCTTTGCTTCATTCTCTTGTCAGCTGTTTTTATTTACAGGCTATTTAATAAATCATAATTTGGATTGGTTATCGTTTTAATTTTGAATAAGAGTACAAGATGATTTCCATGATTGCATTAACCCTGATTTTGCATTAAAAAAATATGCAATCTAAGACAAAACATTAAGGTCAGTGCTGCTGGTAATGTTTACATACTCAAGCGTGATAGCATCTTTGCAGAACAGAATCAAACATCAGCATTTTTGCAGCAGCGACATTATTTATTAAACACGTCAGCATTTATTCAACACAAGCTCATTTTTAGTTCCATATTTCGGTTTCTTTTAAGTCACATGTTGCAATTCTCAAAAAGAGAAGTCTCAATTTATTTATAAAGCACTTTCAACACCACATGTGGAACTAAAGTCCTGTACAGGAAAAAGGAAACCAATAATGTGAAGCAAAACCCAAAAGAAGTGAAATTTACAAGACATTTTACAAGTAAGTTTTTAGCGCATGCGCTCTGGAATAAACCTAGTGTTAGAGAAGATTTTACATACAGAGGCAAAATAAAGGTCTAGATGGGATACAGCTGTGGTTGCATTAATATAGCATAATTGTAGTGACACTACACTAATTGGTTTGGTTTAGTGTTGGGGTAGGCATAGATATAATAAATATTATAAAAAATATTTGGTAAAATTACTGCTTTACAGTACTGGGATGGTTAAAGTTAGGGTTAAAATAGGAGTAGATGTTAAATACAAATGCATAATTTCATAAATAATATGAATAATACTCTGTATAACTACTGCATTACAGTACTGTGATGGTTAAGGTTGGGAGAGCAAGAGATGTTAATAAAAGGTAATTTAATAAATAATATGAATAATACTCTGTATAGTTATTGTTTTCACAGAACTGTTGGGATAGCAGTAGATAAATACATAAATAAATAAATACAATTAATTGGTATTTTAATAAATAATGCAAATAATACTTGCTGTATAATTGCTGTATTTACGGTACTGTCATGGTTGAGTTTAGGGTTTGCATAGAGGTAGATGTTTTATCTTATAAATAATATGAATAATATTTTGTATAATTGCTGTTTTTACTGTACTTTAATGGTTAAAATAGGAATTTGGTAGCGGCAGATGATGATAATGAAATACAATGAATGGGTAATTTAATAAATAATATTAATAATTCTCTGTATAATTAATTACGGTCTTTACGGTATACTATATGTTTGAGTTTAGGGTTGGGATAGGTGTAGACGACCGCAGCTGTATCCCTCCTAGCATTAACCCAGAGGAATGTCGTTCCAGGGCTTTTGTGTGTGTGTTTGAAATGGTTTCTGGAAGTCACTGAGTTCAGTGGGATGTGGTCGCGTCGTCAGTAGCGCAGCCCTTTGTGTGGGCCCCGTGTACGTGCAGAATCAGCCGGTGTGTGTGGAGGCCGATAGAGAAAGCGCTGCAACGTAAGCAGTGACGTCGATGTGGGCCGAGAAGAGCTGAGGGGTTTAAATAAACCCCGAGAACAATAACATTTAACTAAAACGACAAAATCTAACACCAAGCCGCACATTCGGATTAACCCGACGGCCGTTTTATAGCACTTAACTGGACCAGGTAGGAATCGAATCGTCATTTTGACGCGACGCATTATTGCACGCAAACTACATGTAAACAAAGGGATTTCTCGTGAACTCGATTCGTATCAGTGTGCTTTTGTTGTTCGTATTTACACCATTGCCGAAATGAATGACTCATTACCTGCTTGGCTATTACTTGCACCGTCCAATAGTATTACTTCTGTGTCCTGTCAGTAGTGTGGAAGTAACGTGCTATTAGTAAATATTTAATGGTACGAGAATGTTTAATAATACAACGTTATCATGTTACAATAACTACTCAATGACTTGAACTTAAAAAAACACCCCAGTGGTTATGCTGTGAGGAGTTTGTCAATGAGGTAAATTCCCTTTTATATGGTTTACAACACTACTTTTGAGTGTTTTGAATGAAAAATTGCATGTAAATATGACTTCAAAACAACATTAGCACTATTTACAATACTGCGGGCTGTGCTTTGATAGTCATTGGCTGCTAATATGATTTCACTGTTCAGAATTTGCAAAGAAACTATTCTGAAATTAAATTAAAGAGACTGAATGGTTGAATATAAAACCAATTTTACCTCAGTGTTATATTGTGTTTAGCTGAATCTCACATGGGGTTAGTATGTTAGTAGATTAAGCTATTTATTAAACCGAGTGCATCCGATTTGGTTGCTTTAATTTAAAATGTGCAAAAATTGTATTGTTTCTTGTGTAATTCTTGCACGCACTGAAGATAGAATGAGCTTTTGTTTTGTCTCTTGCATGCTGTATGCAGATGTTGCTTCTCAAAGATGTTTGTTTTCTGTATTACTGGCTTTTATTACAAAAGGAGGGTGCAGATAACATTTTTAGATTAAAATACTAACCATTTGATTTGATCGGTCTCTCAAAAACTAGACTTAATAGGCTTTTGTTATTCTTTTGGCTGTATAAACAGTGGTTTTCCCCTGCTGGGAGCAGTCTTGGTTTCTTTTCTCTCACACACGTGCTCTGGGAGTCAAAGCTTCTTGCTCTTCAAACACTTTCAGCTGTATGTTCACGTGCAGCACTATATTTGGCAGGCGTATATCATTACTGAAATGCTCAGGATGTCAAGAGCGGTTCACTGGAAAAAAAGGCCACAGCTGTAAATGGCTGATATGGGTTTTTGCGATCATTAAAATGTTTGCTGCTATACTAATTTCTTAAGATTATTTTGCATAAACTGTAACAAATATAAAGCGTGAAAGCATTAAAATGACTGAAACTGCTATCTATATTTAGTACCATGCTTGAGGAGCTGAATTGTTAGATGCTATAGTACTGAACAGTATTAAAGCAGTTTGCAAATGATGAAAGGTTGATATTTTGTTCAAGTTAACGGTTGGGAAACATTTATACAAAGAATAAGCTGAAAAATGGTTTATGTAGTTGAGCATGAAGCCTTTGGATCAAAAATATTAATTTATTTATTAATCACGAGAAGCAAAATGATGTTTATCAGACAAACAAACCAATTATCAGTTTCTAAGATGAACCGAAATTGTGTTCCTTGTCAAGGGGATATTTTTTTATATTAAATAAATCAGATATACTTGCATCAAATAAATCTGAAATCACCACAAACCATATTAAACTGAAGCAAATTGAGGACTGAACTGAAATGCTCTCATGTCATAATACGGTGGCTGAAAAGAAACAAATGTCAAAGATCATGATGCTGTCAAACATTAAAATCAATGAAATAGTTGTATTCTAGCATATATTTGTATTCGAGAAATGAAACCGTGTGAGATATGTAATACAAACATCAGATGCAGGGCTCAACAATAACGACTGCCCGATGACCCAGGGCCAGAGTGCAAGGTGCTCGGGACAGTAGACCGGATTGATACTGGCCCGATCTGTGATGCCTTGTCACAAAAGTTCAATTTGCCAGCGACTATTTGTCAATTGCGTATGAATGCAGTTATAGAATCGAGGAACAGTTTGTGGTTTTAAGCCTTTAAATGCTGCCTTCTCTGTGATGTCGTAAACGCCATATTGCTTTTGACGGCAACATAAATTTTACGTGGGTACAGTGCAACGATTGGCTTATTATACATTCTTTAACATTTTAAAAATATTTAAATTCTAGATTCAAACACATTTTTGACACAATATTTAAAACATGTGGCTAAGAAATAGCTATTAACTTTTACTTTATTTTTGTTTTGTGGGGCTGGTGAAAATATTGGCAGGGCATGTAAAAACCTGAACCGCTGGCACGGTCGGGCCAGTAGAAAAAGATCCTTAGCGTTATATCAGTAAACACTGCAATATTTATTGTGATATGAAGACAGTTGAACAAGATGACCTAAAGCTCTATTTGGAAATAATTCATTATTTTTGGATAATTGGGGTGATTTGGTGTTTGGGGGACTGAAATATATATGAACTATATAACAAATTGCAAGCGTAGATGATGTGATATACAATAGAAAAAAAAAGACAAATGAAATATTAAAATGAATCCATAAATCGCATGTATCCTGAATTGTGGTGCCTGATCAGCTTTGATTTCTTTACAATCACACATCCAGTAGTGTGACTATCGCAGATGCAAACATTGATGTTGACGCTGGATCCACATCATGTACAGCCCAATAGTGAAGGGTATCCTAAAGGTATAGCGATATGTGCGTTACATCACCTTTCATAACAATTAGCACTAAACTGGCTGTCTATGTATGCTAATGAAACTCATTTTGCTGTCTTGAAGGGAGATTCAACCCCAAAATTAATATTGACTCACTTTTTATTCACCTTCAAATGGTTTCAAATCTTTTGAGTTCTATTGTTATGTTGAACACAAAAGAAGGTAGTTTAAAGAATGCTGAAAACCTGTAACCATTGACTTCCATAGTAGGAAAAACAAATACTATTGCAGTCAATGGTTACTAGCTTGGGTGAGGCAGTGACACAGTAGGTAGTGCTGTCTCCTCACAGCAAGAAGGTCGCTGGGTCGAACCTCGGTTCAGTTGGTGGTTTTGAGCGGAGTTTGCATGTTCTCCCTGCCTTCGTGTGGGTTTCCTCCGGGTGCTCCGGTTTCCCCCACAGTCCAAAGACATGCGGTACAGGTGAATTGGTTAGGCTAAATTGTCCGTAGTGTATTAGTGTGTGTGTGTGAATGTGTGTGTGGATGTTTCCCAGAGATAAGTTGCGGCTGGAAGGGCATCCGTTGCGTAAAAACTTGCTGGATAAGTTGGCGGTTCATTCCGCTGTGGCGACCCCGGATTAATAAAGGGACTAAGCCGACAAGAAAATGATGATGATGATGATGGTTACTAGCTTATTTCAAAATATCTTCTTTTGGGTTAAACAGAATAAGAGTTATAAAGGTTTGAAATGAGTAAAGGTTGAGCAAACGATGACAGAATGGTCATTTTTGGGTGAACTCCCTTTTAATATGGTGAAACTGTGCATGTTGTTGATAATTTTGTATGCATATAATTCATTTTTATTTCCTTACGAAGTCATTCTAACCATGTAGAATGGTCATGTAGAGTTCTGTAATGACATTCATTGATGGCTGAGTGACCTAGGCCTTTAACCAATGAATAGAGAACCCAGGGATTGATTTTTGCCTGGTGTGTTTTGTTGTTTGTGTGCAGTATGTCTCCTATGGGGCAGAGAGAAAAGGCTGCCCTCAGGCAGTGCATTCAGGCCAGAGCCCAGCTGGACGAGGCCATCGCTGACATCATAAAAGCCGAAGTCCAACTCAAAAGCAATTCCAGAGAGGTGAGACGTGTTTTTGGCATCATAAAGCGCATGAAGTACGCAATGTCTTATGGCCCGTTTCCACTGAGTGGTACGTACAGGTCACCTTTATCAGGCTTGCGTTTCCACTGCCAAAAGGGTACCAATGGCGAGGTGTACAACAGAAAGTTTCAGTCGACATCATTCTCACTCAAGGAAATGTCTACAGTAAAGCTGCACAGGTCATTCACACATCATATGAGAAGCACTTCTCACTAAACAGATGCTTTATACATATTAATGCTTGTGTATAAATGTTTATTACTTACTTTTCTATGAACATGATATGATTATAACTGCAGATCAATGATAGTGTGATATAACCTACTTTAACGTCTGCGATTATATAAAATAAATAAATAACTGCAACATGTATGAACACATACAGCCCCTTATAGTCTCCGATATGATACAAATTACAGAAAAACTACCCGCAGCATACATTTAGTCTTTATTTGGATTCAAAATCAACACGAAATATAGCCCACAGTCAGTGCAAACCTCTCATCTGTGTCTGTAATCTTTACCAGCACATGTAGCCTCTAGATAGAGAGTAATTCCATCATTCAGAGTTCATAATGGTCTAAAAGGTGATGATAATAGTTAAACATGGCACAGTTTAAATCCAAGCCTGCTTCAACACACTTACCTGTAGGTTTCAAACAAGTCTGAAGGACTCAATTAGTTTGATCAGGTGTGTTTAATTAGGGTTGGAACTAAACTGTGCAGAGCTGCGGCCCTTTTGGAACTGAGTTTGACACCTGTGCCTTAAAGGGTTAAACAGCACACACAGCACTATACGGTCACAGAAAAGTTTGCGCTGTTATTATTCACTTACCTTTTCATACATTTTCGGTGCAAATAATTTTTAACCTGCTATTTAAAACACAACAAAATATTTTGCATAAGAAGCTGTAATGTAGCTGTGGCGGGATGAATTTTGGTGTGGCGCCCCGCCGCGGAAGAATGAATGTAGCGGAAACCATGCCTGCCCCATAGATGCTACATTAGAAACACCCCACATTAGCGGTAATTTGTTGTTGCATTTGTTTGTAATTTGATGCGAAGATGATGTAATAAATACATACTTAAAAAAAAAAAAAATCTAAATATTAAAAACTTTAAGATGCTGATGACAGTTATTGCATTATAATTGTGAAAAGAGTGCATTTACTTACTGCTTAAATCATGCTTGTGTTATTATCAGTTGACTACACTGATTATGGCTTTATAACGCTTTAGGGAGATGTTATCTTCTTGTTTGTGTCATAAACATAAGAAAACATCCATGCACATGACATCATCTCTCACATCCCATAGGCGCAGTTAATTACTATTTAGATTGAGCACTTACTAGACCACAGATAAACAAGTTCAGATGTATTAACAGTTGAGAAATTGTCTCAGAAATGCTTTGTATGCGAGTACGTTGGATTTGCACTCATTCGCTTAAGCTCTGTTGAGAAACCCCAGTAATCTCTCAAAACAGCTGCACTGTTGGTTCAGAGTAGAGTAATGAATAAGGACCTTGTGTTCATGATTGTGGAGCTCGGAACATTGCAAGGTGTCAAGGAGGTGGGGTCGTCTTATCAGCTTTAAAAGCTGCTTGGCATCTCGGCACTTTCAAATCTGACGTGAAGACTGATGTGTGTGTTTCTGTCCGCTTGCTCAGGTGAAGTCTCAGCTGCACAGCTGCATCAGTAGACATCTGGAGATCCTGCGCTCTCGTGAGGTCTGGCTGCTGGAGCAGATCGATCTGGTGGAGCAGCTCAAAGGAGAGACTTTACATCAGCAGCTGCAGCAGCTTCATTCCGTGAGTTTGGCTTGTCATTTGTGCAGCTGCCTGTTAGCCGATAGACTGGTGTGTATTTTTGAAAACTAGAGCTGGGCGATTTGGGGAAAATTTCCAATTGAAATTTGCTTTAATCAATATTGCGATTTAATTTGTGAATAAAACTTTAAAAGGAACACACAACACGCTTAAAGTGTATAAGTACATAAACGGTGCTCAGGATAAATGAGTTCACCCCTCACAGATCTGTTTTAAGCTTATATTTACTAAAGCAGTGTTTCTCAACTGGTGGGTCTGGTGGATCACTTTTGGGTCGCGGGAACATTTTCAGTGGGTTGCGGTGTTTGTAAAAAAAAACAAAACAAAAAAACAACAAAAGTTACACTTTTTACTTTTTTTTTTTTTTTTTTTTTGCTTTTCCCGGACTTTTATTTTGAAATGCGTGTGTGACAATCCTACCATTTGACATGTGAAATTTCATTTAATTATTGCAACAAATATGTCAAGCTAAAGTACGACCCTGAATATGTTAAGTATGGATATATATATATATATATTGACAACAAAATAGACTTAAAGCCTCAGTGTCATATGTAGTGAGGTGCTCTCATGAGAGCATGAAACCTTCTAAATTAAAACGACATTTAGAAACCAGAAAACATGTTTTATTAACAGTTTATTATTAACAGTATTTGTCATTTTTACTTTGTAATATTTCTATATTTTGATCCATTTTGTTAAATGACAACAATAAAATAGTGTTTATTTGTAAGTCTTGGTGAATTTCTTATGATTTATCTGTCACTACTTGTTTATGTTAACAAATAAATACAAATGAATTATAATTCCTAAAATTATATTATAGTTTCTAAAAATTTGGGTCGCGGCTTGATGACCATGTAAAAATGTGGGTCCCATGGCCAAACCAGTTGAGAACCCCTGTACTAAAGGATGCTTTACATCAGGGGTCACCAATCTCGGTCTTGGAGGGCCGGTGTACCTGCAGGGTTTAGCTTCAACTTGCCTCAACACACCTGCCTGGGTGTTTTAAGTACACCTACAGGGCTCAACAATAAGGACTGCCCAATGGCCCGGGGCCAGCGTGTGAGATGCTCGTGACCGTAGACAGGATCGTTGCTGGCCCGATCGGGCCACTGATGCCCTGTCACTAAAGTTAAATTTGCCTGTGACTATTTGTCAATTATGTGCAAATACAGTCAGAATCGAGAAACAGTTTGTGTTTTTATAACTTCAAATGCTACTTTCTCGGTTCCTCTTATCTGATTGGATGCTGTGGGCATGTTATTTTTTTCGAAACAACTAGTACATCGAAGAGACAGCAACATGGCGGCAACATCAAGTGATGATGCTAAAGGAAAACATTTGTTTCTAACGTCTTTGAAGCAGACATTTATGAGGGTATGCCAAGACTTAAAAAATTAAGTGATGTTTTGTACAGTTTGCCGTCAGTTTGGCAGGTCAGCCATCTTTTGTTTTGCCATAAAATACCTGCACATTTTGCTACTTTTGTTTGCAAAACACTTTGAATTTTGTTCATTACACATTTATTAACATTTTCAAATCATTAAATTCTAGATTTACAAACATTTTGACACATTTCTTTTTTTAATTTGTGGCTAAGGAATAACTATTAATGTTTTTTTTGGTAAGGCCAGTGAAAATATTGGCAGGGCAAGTAAAAATCTGAACCACTGGTCCGATCAGGCCAATAGAAAAAATCCTTAACATTGAACCCTGACCTAGTAAGACCTTGATTAGCTTGTTCAGGTGTGTTTGATTAGGGTTGGAGCTAAAATCTGCAGTACACCGGCCCTCCTGGAACAAGTTTGGTGATCCCTGCTTTACATTAATATATTTGTGCATATACGTTAGATTTAGTCAGAACTGAAGTTAAAAATGGAACTAATCTAGCAAAATAATGTCAAAAAAAAGATCAAAATTAGTGCACCCGAATTAATATGTTAGCAGAAAATTTTAAATAAAATTTTAATAAACAGGACAAATAAAGAGAAACTTTTGAAAAGAAATTGTCGTTCTTTTTTTGGAATAACCTGCTTACATTTAAATGATGACCAGTTGTTATTATTAAAATAAAGAGTTTGTTTAATAAAACTGTTTTGTCTAAATTCACCAAATTTATTGGCTATTTTCATTAAAAATTGGATAAAAATATAGATTTTTTCAAAAGGGGGTGTACTCATTTATGCAGAGCTATATATGTGTAAGTCTTATTATTTTGAAAGCATTTTGTGTTTTTCTCTGTACAGAAAGACTATGTTCTATTACCATAACATGAACCATTTTCTACAGTTAGTTATCTTATCAGACAACTCTGACACGTTCATAATCATTGCTACCACTGATAACCCATTGTCTATAAAGCAGAAACGATGCCATACCTGAGCCTCTAAATTGCTGCTATTCCTGTCCAATACAAAAGAAGCCAACAACAAAGAAGTTGATGTACATGTAGCGTTTCGGTTCTCCGTGTAATTTCCTCACATGACATAAAGGGCTCTATCTAGAAATAATTGATGGTTTTAGATTGATTAAGATCATTACGTAGGACCCTGTATATGCATAACATGATGAACTAATTACAGAGCAAAGATAGAAATGAAATAAACAGTGGCTTTCATACAGCATTCAGACACAGAACTTTGAGTTATCAATGTAAATAATCAGCATATGGTGTTCATAGTATTAATAATCAAATATAAATAGTCTTTGTTAAAGCTATAAATAATAATTTCTTATTAAACACGTGGAAATGACTTTGATACTTTGCGATGACCATAATCTCAACTGGACAGTGAACATGCTACAATGTTATGACTATTGCAGACGTGTACATTGTGATATGAATGTTGAAACGATATATTGTGCAGCCATATACTAATGGTTTAGAAGCACAAAGAGGACCCATTTCCTCTCAGAAGGAGAATAAATGTGTTTATATATTTATATCACAACATTTCAAGTCAAGATTGTGATTAAACTAGAATTGTTCAGCCCTAGTATTGACTTACTGGTGTCAGCTGATGTATTAAAAGTACAGGTACTTTTTTCAAGATCTCCCTATTGAAGCTACATTTATGGAATCTTTAAACACCGAAAACGTGGAAGTGAAACTCCTCTGCTTCAGTTAAATTGGTTTAAAGCTGAAACGGCATGTGTTCTGTCATGTTTCTCACAGCTGAAAGGCCAGTTTGACCTGCTCATTCATCAGCTGGAGTATTCCGGGAGTAACAGTCTCACCACCCAGCTCACAAACTGCCTGGAAAAGTAAGTACCTACAACGATTACACTAGTTTGCATGGTCTACTTCAGTGTGTTAAATGCATGAGATGCTACATTTAAATCTCCCAAAATGCATCTTTAGGGAATCTCAAATTAATAACAATATATCTTTGCAAGTAATACCAGTGTAGTTTTAAAACTCTTCCTTTGTCATTTCAGGCTTTCGTCTCTTAATCTGACTCCCGAAGAAACCCCAGAGATGAGTTTCCAAGCAGATGCGCACACTCTGCGCAAGGCCATCACATCATTTGGGACAATTGCCTCAGAGGTGTGTGAAACCGCACATTTGTACACTTGTCTGTGTCTATTTGTATCAGTGCTATTGACGTTAAACGGCTTAAATTTGAGTGATTTTTGTTGAACCGCCATCATAGCCAAGTAGATTTAAAACATGTCACAACTGCAATACAATATACATTGAACTGTAGAATACAATAGAAATTGGTACAGGTTTGTAGATCTGTTTTAACTAGATGAAAACAGGAACAAAATAATCATAAATGCCAGTATTCTTTACATTTGAGCAGGTGCAGCCATTGGTACCTTAAAGGCCCATGACACCCCCCACTTTCGGTTAAAGTCTACTTCAGAATTTTTTCAAAAGATGCATGATTAATGGGCGTGGAGCTCCGCGAGCATCGGGCAGGAGTGGGCGTGGCCAGCAGGGGAGAAGGGGAGCGAACAACTGTTGTTGACAGCTCACAAATTGAGACACAAACTGTGAGGAGACGCATGAGTTTATAGTTTACAAAGTTAAAATGCAAAGAAATAAACAGTGATTTAATGCCCTGCTACATTTGTTATTCGTAATTTCATATACACATAACCACAATTTATATCATTATAAAGATAGTCGTGTTTATACAAACACTATAAATGAGGATTCTCCCTCAATTCCCGGGTCTGAATCATAGATCTAAATGCAGACTCAGTGGAGCAGGTCTCCTGACCTGTCTATTTTAACCATTAGTCCTGCTGGTTATCTGGAGGATTTAGGCAAACACAGCAGCACGGCAATGTGTCTTAATGTGAATGAACTCCTGATACAAGACAACATCCGCCATTCTCCAATTCTCTTGCTGCTCTCCTGACAAAAAATGCTTGCAACAAACACACAGCTTTGCTGTATGCCCTGACAGGATCGCGGGGAAAAACATGCAACAAACCCCGTCGATCATGGAAACAAACACATACAAGCCTTCAAAAACGGTTACTGCGTGCCGTGGGTCTGTGTCTCACAGCTTGAGCTTGGCACTGGTCTGCGTCTGCCTTGCCTTCGGAAAGCATGTGCTGTCGTGCTCTCATGAATAATTAAGCAGCCGGCTCTTCTCATAGGATAAGAAAACTCCGCTTTGAATAATAATGAGAAACCGATGCGTCATCATTGCACTTGCGGTACTTCGCTACGTCGCCGATTTTGATCCCGCCCCAAAAATCATTTTAAACCCGGAAGCTGAAATTAGCTGACAAAAGCTCAAAATTATCCAGTTTTCCCCACAATTAAAGCTGACAGGTGCTAACATTGTCTTAACTGATGCTCAACACACACACATCTGTTAATATATATAAAAAAGTTCTCCAGGGTGTCCTGAACCTTTAATGTCTCAAGACATCCAGTCTCATTTGCTTCCATTGATTTTCAGCCATTAAAAACAGCTTATGCCTAATGGTACAAATGTATTATTTTTACTTTTATGTATTGTCAAAGTTTGACCGTTTACCATGCCTGGTCATTTCCCCCATAGGCAAATCAATGGGAAGTGCTGTAAAAACAACTGCAGAAATGCGATTACTTCCACATTGCAGAATAAGGTCAATAGCAGTACAATGGTCGCAGCTTATCAATTGATCATTTAGTCAAGTTTAGGGTTGTCAAAAGTATTGACATTGGTACTGGATTTCTAAAAACGTCCATTTCCTGATTAACATTAGTGCTTCCCGAAAGCATGTGCACTCATTCAAGTTCTCTCCACTGCAGCAAATGGAGACCTCAGAGTCTTTTGCGCGACCTTGGCTTTTGCAGGACTGTCCAGTCTTTTTCAAGAAGCAGGTTTGTATTGATAATTGCACTCCGTTTATGTCATTTCCAACTCATTAATGTACATGCAAAAATAAATAAAATAATAAAATGCACATCTTGTTTAGAAACTGGATCCCGAACGCACTACACCTCTGACCGAGTGGCTTTTGGGGAATCATCCAGTTTGCAGTGCTCCAGTAAAATACCACTTCAGCACAAACCCTCATGACTGGCTGCTTGTTTCCAAGGAATCTCAGGTGAGTTATTGATTTTTAATTAAAAAAAAAAGTTATTCACTTGAGATGCAAGTGCATTCAAGTTAATGTTGTTTTTGAGAGTAAACAACAGTAAGTGTTGGGCTTAGGGCAAACATGCCTGGAGGGCCACCAGCACTGCATGCTTTGGATGTCTCTTTTGTCTTCACACCCATTACAGGTCTTTCAGTCTCTGCTGATGATCTTAATCAGGTGTGTTTGGTTGTGGAGACATGGAAAATGTGCTGGTGGTCCTCCAGGAGCATGGTTGAGAAACACTGCTTTAACTAATAGCATCTGATATGTTAAAGTATGTGTATGTATGTAAATAAGTGATTTGCCACACTTGTAAAGTAACCACTAATATAAATGCATTATATTCCAGTCCCGATCAAGAGTGTAACAGCTGATTAATTGAGTCTGAATCTGCATGATCGGGCCTGATTTCTGAACACGTGATCGTGTCTAGACACCCCTAGGTTAAATGCAACCTTTGTCAAATCATATATATATATATATATATATATATATATATATATATATATATATATATATATATATATATATATATATATATATATATATATATATATATATAGTCTGCGCAAACTAACTCTTTTAATAAACAATTTACAGGAAGAGAAACAGCTACCTGCCTTTGACTTCCAGAAGGCTTGGGGCCAGCTCCATGACCTGGAGTCATGGCTTCTGAAGGAGAAGTTGCCGATTCGTAAGCGAACCTGCAGCAGCAGCTCCACCTTCTCCATTGAGATGATCGACGAAAGCGACTTCAATCTGGATGACGTGGAAGATGAGCAGGAAAAAGCAAGCGACACTTTTGAGGAAGAAGAACTCAATAAGTGGCTTGTCAACTCAAGCCTGGTGAAGCCAAACCAAACCAACCCAGATGCAGAGCGCTTCAAGCAGATCTTCAAACCCTTCTACGAGAGCTTCTCCTCTAGTGATTGGCTATCAAAATCCGACTGCGGCTCCTGCTGTGCCACGCGCACTACAGCTGTGGAGATTGAAAACCTCGGAAAGCTCAAGTGCCTAAAAACACCACCGCCATCCACTCCGGTCACCACTCCAGATCCCATGGAGATGTGGCTCCACAAGACCATCCCTCTGGAGAGCACATGCAAAGCCAATGAGACCTGCACCAGCTACGCCCAATGCGTCTGCGAAGACAACTGCGGAAAAGAAGCTCTCAGCGCTTGGCTCCTCAAGAAAGAGGGTCGAGATAAAAACGGCGTTCCCGTCAATAAGAACAGCACAAGCAAAGCCTCCAGCCACCAGCAGGAGCAGCAGCAGAAGGTTCAGGCTATCCTTGAGGCCTGGCTGCACCCTAGTAACTCTGCCAAATCCCCAGACCTGACGTCCCTGTCTGCGTGGGCGATCCCGCACATTAAACTTGCAGATCCGGAGAACTCCGTTGAGAATCCTCTGCAGGCCGAGAACTGGCTGCATCCAGCAATCAAGCAAATTAGCAGTGCCACCGAGATGCCAAACAAAGCAGAGAGCAAGAGCGCAAAGGATCAGGACGGGAAAGATAATGTTGAGGAGGACAAATGGCTTTTACGCAAGCGGGTCAGTGCACAGGTGAGCCGGAGATCTCTGTTTGATAGAATTATGGAGGGTTTAAATGTTGAATGTTGCGGTAGTGAACAGGGCTGCACGATACTGGAAAACTGACATTACAATATTTTATTTTTCCGTGATGACATATGAGTAGGACCAGACAGAATCTGCAGACAGTGCTATGTCTGCACAGAATGTTGGGAGTATTGTAACTTATACAGAATCTGCGGACGTTTTTTTGCTGTTTGAGATTTTTGCTAAAAATCTGCGTATTTCTGCGGAAGTATTTTGGGAGTATCATAACTAAAACCTTAATATGTGAAATAAAAAAAAAATATTTTTAACTTTTTATTTGATGTTTAAAATGCAAATCCAACGATATTCACTTTATTTGGTAAACAAAGCAAGTCTCTCGGGGTCTTATCGTCTTAAATCTCAAAATCCAAATTTTAGGCCTAAAAAAAGTCCTAAATTTACTGAAATATTGTGTTGTAGGTCTTAAATCTTTTTTTAAACAGGTCTTAATTTTCCTTTGTTCATGTATTGCTATCAAATCTGGCCAAAACCCATACAATCACCAACAGTCATCTCAATAAAACTTTACATTTTTTTTTATTTATAGAGGTCATTTTTACTCTATTTATCATAATAGTTTAATTATTTTCCTTACAATAACATTTGTTTTAAAGTTCACCATGTAATCACTGCTGAGGACACCGAACTGGACAGATTGCTGTGCAAAGATTTAGTTTATTATAGTTTTTAAGACTTTTAAAAATTATTTTAAAGAAAGTTGTTTTTTTCACTATTGAAAATATTTTGCTAAGAAATAAAATCTAAAGTATTTTTATTTTTGTTATTAATGTATTATTGCAGTGGTTCTCAAACTTTTTTCATCAAGTTCCACCTCAGAAAAAAATTGCCTCTCCTAATACCACCATAATGAGCAGCATTGAAATAAAGTAGCGTAGTAAGCCCCGTAAAGCAGCTACAGCTCGGCACAGTTCTAAAACGTGGCAGATTCATTTATATTAAGAATATTTATTATTGTCAGCCATTTTAAACATTATAAATAGTCTGAACGTTAACACTGTACTGTGCTTTTATGTAAAAAAAAAAACAAGCAAACTAAAAACGTCAACCTTTAAAAAAAAAAAAAATATATATATATATATATATATATATAGTATATGTCAAATTCATATAGAAATCTTTTTTTTTTTTTATATAAATTTTGAAATATATGTAGCATGTACAAATGACACCATTTGATATCTCCTTGTACCACTAGAAGCAAGCCCGCGTACCACTAGTGGTACACGTACCACAGTTTGAAAGCCACTGTGTTATTGTAATAATAAATGTATTAAATTATAATAATGTTTTGCTAGGGCAAATAAAAATCTTTTCCATCTGGGCAGTTTGAAAAATTCCTTAGCCTTTTATGAGTTTAAAATTTCATTCATAACAGTCTTAAAAACGTATTAAAGTCTTAAATTGAACTCACTGAAACCTGCAGAAACCCTGAAAATATATCCACTAAAAGACAGAAAATATTAATGCACAAACTGCACTGTACATAAATCAGATGAACATTTTCAAAACTGAAACAGAAAATTTTAAAAACTGTATAAATATAGATTTACACATATTTACTGAAGTAAATGAACAGAATTAATGATGGGCTAAAAATCTGCAGAATTCTGCGCTCGCAGATTCCATGTGGGCCTACTTATACCTTAATAGATTAAATAAAAAATAAAAAAACACATTTAACGTTTAATGTTTACAATGCAAATCCATTTGGATCAACTTATTTGGTAAACAAAGCAAGTCTCTCACATAATATAATAAATATACTAAAAGACAGAAAATCTTACTTTACAAGCTGTATTGTAAATAAACGAATCAGAACATTTTATATTAGTCAATAATAGTAGTGAAATTCATCTAAAACCGAATAATTCTAAATGTACATACATTTACACGGGTAAATAGACTCAATGTTAGGCTTAAAATCTGCATATTTCTGCACTCGCAGATTCCATGTGGGCCTACATACGAGTGATAATTTGAACAGATGCGTCTCTTTTTGGAAAGAATAAATAATTTTACGACAAATTTGGATGAAAATAAAAAAGTTAGTAACCAAATATTTCCACTAGGGAAGTTTTCCGCTGTTTCTAACGCGTGGTGCAGTGGTTGGCACTGTCGCCTCACAGCAAGAAGGTTGCTGGTTTGAGTCCTGGCTGGGCCAGTTGGCGTTTCTGTGTTGAGTTTGAAAGTTCTCCTCTGGATGCTCCGGTTTCCCCCACAGTCCAAACACATGCGCTATAGGTGAACTGAATAAAGTAATTGGCCGTAGTGTATGTACCGGAATAATTGGTGGTTCTGTCACTAGACACTAAGCTGAAGGTAATGAATGAATGAATGAATGATGTTCTCTGTTGGTTCATTTAGGAAAGGCTCGGCCTCCCTATAGTATGTGACCTGTTTTCCTGTATGAAGCTCGGCGGTGACAAAGAAAAGTGGCTCCATCAAGCAGCCACACAGGTGAGGAAGAACTCGAATATTAAATAATTAAGCAGAGCTGTTTTTTTTTCGTTTAAGCCAAGTAAAAGTATGCTCTCTTGTCATTTCAGATATGAATGCAGCAGCATTACTCTAGTGCTATTGAATTGCTGATTATTGCACAACACTCTTCTTCCGTGCTTTTTGGGGATTCATTTTGTCTGGGATCTTCTGTCGACTGAGAGTGATTTGAGCCCCGTGGCACATCGTTTTTGGGAATTGCTGTCATATTTTACTGTTTTATTGGCTCAGTTCAATTCCTGCGATGAAGGGGAAGACCAATAGATTTCATTAATGTGATTTTAAATATCAAGAACAAGTGGACTGGATGCATACAAAACAAATGATTTCTTCACCACGGGGTCAACTGAAATGTTCAAGATGCGTCTATAATAGATTTAATCGCACAGTTATAGCTTTCTTCTTCTTTTTTCCCCCCAAATATTCATATGAAGATGCGCTCTAAACCATTTTAACCTCTTTGAAGATATATTTATATAGAATTATTTTACTATTTTAAGTATGGAGCTTTCTTTGCCATTTCTTGTTTCATTTGTCACGATCAACAAAAGTCACATGCCAGCTAAAACATAGCAAAACTTCTGTTTCCAAACCTCAAGAAACAGAACTGGTGCCTGATGTGTTGAATGTGTAGCAATGCTTGCTGTCAGTCCATGTGTGTGTGTGTGTGTGCAGTAAAAACACCTTAGTCTACTGTCATGTGTGTGGCTTGAACCTGTGGCAAACGATCTCTCTATCGCTCTTTAAAATGCATCCGCCATAAACAAACCACTGATACTGCTTTGTGAACATGTAGACAGGATTTAATCTTTGCACTTAAAGATTTCAGATTTAAGAACTGCATCAGAAATGAAACGCTTTGAGAGGTTCAGCTTAATCTTGGTGTCTGTCAACTAGTAATGGACCAAGGACTGAGTATACACACGCGTTTCTTCTGTCAGGATTGTGCCAGACCGCTGGATTGCGCACACATGTACTTATTTAGGTATTGCTTACATCATCTATAATGCTTCGATCCATTTCAAATCAATAAATAAATGAACATGTGTATAAATATAAACGTTTCCTGTTATCAAAGTAATTTTCTGTTTCCTGACACTGAAAATGAAATTGTGTGGTTCTATATATACACATGATGGCCACTTTATTAGGTACACCTGTCCAACTGCTCGTAATATTTCTAAGCCGCCCATCACATGGCAGCAACTCAAGTAGACATGGTCAAGACGATCTGCTGCTGTTCAAACCGAGCATCAGAATGGGGAAGAAAGGTGATTTAAGGGACTTTAAATGTGGTATGGTTGTTGGTGCCAGACAGGCTGGTCTGAGTATTTCAGAAACTGCTGATCTACTGGGATTTTCACGCACAACCATCTCTAGGGTTCACAGAGAATGGTCTGAAAAGAAGAAAATATCCAGTGAGCGGCAGTTCTGTGGGCTCAAATGCGTTGCTGATGCCAGAGGAGAATGGCAAGTGTAAGCACTTGCTACAACCGAGGTCTGCTATAGAGCATCTATGAGCGCACAACATGTCCAGCCTTGAGGCGGATGGGCTACAGCAGCAGAAGACCACACCGGGTGATACTCCTGTCAGCTAAGAACAGAAAACTGAGGCTACAATTCACACAGACTCACCAAAATTGAACGATTGGGAAAAACGTTGCCTGGTCTTATAAGTCTCGATTTCTGCTGTCACATTCTGATGGTCGGGTCAGAATTTGGCGTCAACAACATGAAAGCATGAATCCATCCTGCCTTGTCAATGGTTCAGGCTGCTGGTGGTTTAATGGTGTGGGGGATATTTTCTTGGCACACTTTGGGTCCATTAGTATCATAAATATATAAATATAAAAGAGAAAGTTGGAAAGTTTAAAACAGTTTCTGACCAGCAGTCTGCTAATAACATCTGTTTTAAAATATCACAAGCTACACAAGACTGCTCATATTGTACTTTATTAGTGCCAAGTTATCACACAAACCCATTTTACATTTAAGTAAACGCTTGGCTAAATGCACAAATGTGAAAAGAATATTTATAACAGATTAGCAACATTAATTCAATTACCAGATATGCATTCAGGTGTCTGTTAATGGGATAGTCCACCCGAAATGACAGTTTCCTGTTAATTTACTCACCAACAGGTTATCCAAGACTTGTTTCTTCAGTAGAACATTAAAGAAGATTTTGAGCTGAATCCATGCTCTCTAGTTATTCTTATAATGAAAGTGAATGGTAAATGTTTATTTCTCTACATTCGCACATGCCCCGACATCTGTTTGACCAGGCTGTGAATTAAAGCTAGTAATATTGTAAATAATGTTTAATTTCTTACACGGATCAATTGTTTCGCTTCACAAGACCTCAGTGTGTCTTTGAGAGCCAAGACTATTGATTTAGGCTTGCTTGTATGTGTTTATTTTTAATCTCAAAAGACTGGTGCCATCGACTGCCATTATATGATCACCACTGATTCAGCTTCATATATTCAGCTATATATTTATATATTCAGCTATACATATATATATATATATATATATATATATATATATATATATATATATATATATATATATATACACACACATATATACATATACATACATACATACATATATATATATATATATATATATATATATATATATATATACATACACATATATACATACATACATATATACATACATATACACACACACACACACACACACATGAATGACAATGGAATACGGTAAATATACCCTGACACTCTGACCAATGTGAGGAGAGTTTACTCACACGTGACTTGTTTTAGCTCTTTTGGTCCGTTTAGAAACTTTGCAGTGTGAAAGCGAACCGCTCCAAGAGCAAAGAGCAACAATGTAACATTTTTAATCCCTATTTCGGAACAACTGAATCAATTCACAGGTGTGAAAGCACCCTGAGTTCATGAACTGAACTGTGACCTTGTCATTGGAGATGAATACAAATACCATTACAGCTCTAGAATGCAGGCATAGCTGTAGTGACAATCTCACAGACAGCTGGAGAGACTCAGAGCTTCGCCCATATCCAGAACATGCAGAGGAGCGATAGAGCTTCGTGAGGACTCCACACCCAGCATGAGTTCAGGCTTGATAAGTGCTTAATCAACTAGGGGGGGTATGAGCCAGAAGGAGCCCACCCTTCAAATACAAACACCAGTGGAACACTCCAAAATAACACACTGTCTCTTTAAAGCATGTTGCAACATGTCTACATTCTTGCTTTCTGTCAAAATATAACAGAAGCTGTCCACATATGCACAACAAAACAATAGACAATGCCAGTAAAAAAAGCTGTAACTATGAGTTTATAGCACCATAATGATCAACGAAGGCTTCCTGTGCGCTTGTAAATCCAGCCTGTTTGACTTTTGACTGAAATGTGAGATAAAGAGAGATCTTGTGACAGTCTTTGGAGACATTAGAGAGAAACTGCGTGCGCTGCAAAACTCTTATCTGACAGTGAACTCTGCCAAATGCTTTTCAGCTTATCAAGCGATGTGCTGCATCAGAAACTTCCCTTCTAAGAACCACGCAGCATGAAGCATGATGGGAAATTATTTTGTGACTTCCTAAGGAAAGTTTTCCCCTTTTATCTTTTAAACGTGAATCAGCTACAGGAAAATACCTGTAGGGTAATTCCTCAGTAACTTCCTTATAGAAACAGTGGCATTGTGTGTCTAGCACCACACAATGGCCTTCAATGACCTTAAAGGGATAGATCATCTAAATATGAAAATTCTGTCATTTACTCCAAACATGATTGAGTTTCTTTCGTCTGTAAACCCAATAGAAGATATACTGAAGAATGCTGTAAAAAGCACACATTAGCTGTTCACATACACTTATTTGAAAAAAAAATGTTTGATGAGAACACCAAAACGCGCATAAGTTTTGCAAATGCACATAAAAAAGTAACTGAGTAGGAAACACGTTTCATCCGATAAGAAAAGATGCATAAATTACAATAGCCCCTTTCACACAGTGATACCGGTAAATATCTGGAAAATTTCCGGAAAGACTTTACCGGTATATTGAAAAAAGCGCTGTTCACACAGGCGAGGACGTTACGGAAATTTTCCGGAAAAGAGCATTCACACATCCATTCCAAAATACCGGTAAATTCTGACAACATTCACCACAAATGAGCTTTAAACGGCTGCGCTTGTATTTGTAAACATTTGACTAAATTACAAACTCTGTGGATGATCAATATTGTGAACAACTTTCGCAGGATCACTTTCGCATGTCGAGATGTTCATAATATGTGCGTGTGCAGGCGCTCACAGGCTGTATCACAGGCACACGCAAAGCTTGAAGGTAAACAAACAACGGCTTATCATAAGCATCTCATCGATGATTATTTATACAGGTGGCATTAAGAAGAACATATAAACGTGATCTGACTAACTTCTAGCAGCTAAATGTGTCTGGAAAAATATTCAAAGGCTTTTATCCTCACAAAGCGCGCGGACGTAAATGCGTCTGACTGTTGTGATTGGCTAAAGCAGACGTCTCACGTCAGCACGTTCTAGACGTGCACGCGCTTATTACGGGAATCTTCCTTCTGCATTCACACAGCGCAGCATTCCGGCAAATTGCCGGTAATGTTACAACTTCTCTTTCCGGAAAATAGCCAGAACGAATTTACCGGTATTTTCAAAAAGGACCTGTTCACACATACAACCTTTCCGGAAAATTGCCGGCAATTTTCCGGAAAGGTCTGTATGTGTGAAAGGGGCTATTGAAACTCTTTTACCGAACAAATTCCAGTACGCGCATTAAAAAGCTCATGTGATTTTGCTATAAGAGATCATGAAATGATGAAAATGTGTGTGAATGGATAAACCAGCAGGCTGAGCACACTGTAAACCATCTGAAATGTTGTTCTGGTCATTCTAGAACACCGTAAGCATTTCAGGGTTAGTGTTATTATATTATTAATGACCTCCAGAACTGTCAAGAGCATCTTTGCTCTGCATCTCAAGTCTTCGAACGCCACCACGCGTTCACTGCGAGTCAGGATTGCCTTCTGAGGCGCAAGTCATTTATTAAATAAAGAAAAGATCTAATAAATTTTAAATCTTTTAAATCTTTAAATCTCTTTAATCTTTTAAAAAGATTTTAAATCTTCTCCTTCTGCAGTAAATTTTTACTGTTGATATTTGGCGGCAGTTAATCAGGAAGTGACGATTTTGTTCGCTTTGACTCGTTAGATGGAAACGCTGCTTTATTTGCACGTCTTTTATGCAATATTGCAGTTTTCCACAGAAATTTCATTTGCATCTTTAGATGGAAACATAGTTATTGACTTCCATAGTATTTTTTTGTTCCTGATGGCGGCTTTTTTCCAGGATTCTTCAGAATATCTTGATTCGTGTTTGGATCAACTGTCCCTTTAATAGGTGTTTTTGGGTACAACAATAAGTTCAAGAAGTAAAAATCTAACTAATTTCCAATACAGACATATATAAAGTTGAGGTCAAAATTTTTAGCCCTCCTGAATATTTTTCCCCAATTTCTGTTTTCAGCACATTTCTAAACATTATAGTGTTAAGAATTCACTTCTTATAACTGATTTATTTTGACCATGATGACAGAACAATATTTGTCTAGATATTTTTCAAGATACAAGTATTCAGCTTAAAGTAACATTTAAAGGCTTAACTAGGTTAATTAGGCAAGTTAAAGAAATTAGGCAAGTCATTTTACTACTGAAAATAAAAATATTGCTCAAGGGGGCTAATAATATTGACCTTAAAATAGTTTAAATAAAATTAAAAACTGCTTTTATGGCGAAATAATACAAATATGACTTTCGCCAGAAGAAAAAATATTAGAGGAAATACTGTAAAAATTCTTTGCTCTGTTAAACATCTTTTGGCAAATATTTGAAAAACAGGAGGGCGAATAATTCTGACTTCAACTGTATTTTTTAAGAGTTATCTCTAAACCTTTTGAGCATGAGCTCTAAGGTTAATTAATAACACATTTTACATGTAATTTACATCACAACGATGCATTTATTCAAGATGATATGTTCAAAAAAATCAATTTTGTAAAGAAAATTTTGATTTAAGCCCAATCCCAATTCTACTCCTTAACCCTCGCTAAATTTCACTATCTATAATCTATAATAACTCCTGTACAGCAGTCCGACAACAGTCTGACACTCGAATACCCTGTCAGTAATGTCTAGTGGCTGGGAATGAGCTTTTTTTTATCAGCTCTAAAAATGTTTCCCTTTTGTCATCTATGACAGTGTTTCTCAACCACGTTCCTTAAGGCCCACCAACACTGCATGCTTTGGATGTCTCCTTTGTCTGTCACACCCTTTACAAATCTTTCAGTCTCTGCTGCTGAGCTGATGATCTGTGTGTGTTTGGTGAAGGAGACATGGAAAACGTGCAGAGCTGGATGGAACGTGGATGAAAAACCCTGGTTGAACGTGGTAGAGAAACACTGCTCTATGAAGTCTTCAGCTGAAAAGGAAGTAGATATTATTGTTGAACCTTCCCCTACATTCTTGCTTCCTTAACAAAATGTAATAAATGTATAATACATGATACCTGGAGATTTGTAGAGGACGCCAGTCATTGTTCCTGCAGCGATGGTGTTCAGGTCGTCCTCTGCTCCTCTGGCTTTCTCTATGATCACCCCAAACGCACTGTAAAGCAGAGCTAAACAAACAAACAAACAAACAAACAAACAAACAAACAAACACACACACACACACACACACACACACACACACACACACACACACACACACACACACACACACACACACACATACTTGTTTTTCTATACTTGTGAGGACTATGGCAGGACACAGCACTTGTGAAGGCCTGCTATTCTAAAGGGTGTAGAGACAAACAGATGCCATCAGTCACCATTAGATGGCCCCAGAAGACCCAAAATCACTTTAAATTAAAAAAACACTCAAAGGAAAAAATCGAAACACACTCTTGACAAAATGCTGCATTTGTGAGGTACCGCTAATGCTAACTAGCTTAGCACGTGTTGCTGCGTTAGCATAGCCTAGCATGCTAATGGTATGCCAAAGACTATAGTATATTAATCTAGTCTTAAAGGCACTTTAACAAACTTTTCATGATCTACACATTTTACCAGCATAAAACTGTAATCTAATCTGAATGAAAGCTGACGTTTGAGCTCATTTAATGATATGAAATTCCTGTTTTTTATATGAAATTCAGAATGTTTTATTTGTTAATGAGAAGCTTTGATTTTATCTAAACCATGATATCCATTTAAAAAGTTTACCTGAGTTCTTAACATTTAATGTACATTTCACATATATATAATTAAGCCTGTTAGTTTTAAACAAGTTATACAGTTCCCTCTCTATCTGTAGCCTATTTATACATAACCTTCAGTTTTCAATATGGAATTAAATACAATTAAGAAACATTTATGACTATTTATGAAATTATACTGACCAGAATGTTCAGAAGCACAGCACTTCTCTCAAGCATTTTTATAGTAATAAATAATTATTCAGGCACCAGATGTGAGTGTATATATATATATATAGTACATTTACTTATAAAAATGACATGGTCTGACCTTTAAGCTCGTCCTCCTCAAACAAATCCCAATTCAATCCATGATCACTGTCAGCTTCTGCTCAAATGATGTCACTTCCTCTGAATCACAGCCTTAAAGGTGCATTGCTCAAATTTTATTTTCAATTTAATGCACATGTGACAGGACTGACAGAAGCATGGGGACAGCTGTAAAATTATTTTACAAATAATAAATTAAATTACTTGTGGAATTTATAATTTCAATAAAGTTTTTATTTTTCTAAATAAGTATTTCGCATAACAAAACTCCTAAAGCTGCAGGTTTAAACTGGGCTGAGGACGAGGACAGTGACAGGCCTTGTACATTTTAGTGCTTTTAATGAACAAAAATCTAAGAAACCAAATGAATGACATATTCCTTTACAGAAAAACCCACAGAAATCGACTATCATGCCATTTTAGACATTTGTTTGGGATGAAATACTTATTATTCGCTGTATTTACGTTTTTATTTCAGGGAGAGATCATGTACGTTTTACATTTATTTATATATATATATATATTTAGAGAGTGAGAGAGAGAGAGAGAGAGAGAGAGAGAGAGAGAGAATAATATATACATATTAATATATAACTAGTTATTATAAGATACTATAGTGTATTGATGTAAATGTGGAGCACAGTAAACTGACATAATACACACAAAACCTCCACATCCAGTGGATTAAAGCTATCAGGACTGGGGAATCTGCTACATCGCCTGTGCTTTAGCCAATCAGTCTGAGTCTGAAAATACTGAAAGTTTACAGCAGACACTACAGGCTGACATTAAGAGCCAACTACAGACAATTGTGTAAATAGTTTTAATTATAGTGTACATTTCTATCAGTTATCCTACAACATCAAGAAGAATTTATTCTAACACAGCTTAACTTTTGACCATATTTTATCACCATTTTCTGAATTTTACAGAAATGTTGAGTAGTGACTCAATGCTCAATAAGAGAATCAAAAGGTTTTAAATAAAAGGAACACAGCAGAAAAACTAAGAGATGTGTTCCCATGCAGCAAACTTAAACAGAACAGTGATGTGCTCAAATTATTCTTCTTTTCTTGGACTGGACTGTCTTATGAACAAAAGTCGTTTACGTTAATCCAGGGTCTGGAGTGAATAAATGGATTGTTTTGAAGGTAAGCCTGGCTGCCCACTTTTCCTGGAGATTTTTTCAGAACAAAGGGTTGTCCAGGGTTGCCTTCACTGCAGCAGCCTGCTCATCAGCTGTCCTAGGCCTCACTGCAGCCTTCTGTCCTAAAAAACAAAAAGGTCAAAAATTGTGTAAATTATATATATATATATATATAACACATATTATATTGTGATATATGTGATATATGTTGTGTGCAATATCACATTAGTTGTTTTAACTATATGCCAAATCATAATATAGAGCCTGTTGATCATTTAGTTCATCAATTCTCTACGTGCTGCACTAATGTGAGGTGTGCATGTTAAAATGATCAAAGAAACGGTGAGGAAACAGCTTGAAAATCTCACACTCAGACACTCAGACACCAGCGCTCATCAAACCCTTCATTAATACCACACAATAACCTGATTAAACCCTCAATCGTCAAAATAAACTAGCCAATCACCAAAATGCAAGAACTACTGTGATGTTATTGCATTTAGAGTAAGTGATCATGGCCGGCGCGTCCAAAGAGGTGACCTAGGCGGCCGCCTAGGGCGGCAGAATAGAGAGGGCGGTGTCCGCAACACCTCCCTCACCACCCGTGCCCACAGTTATATCCATGTCTATAGCGGCAGAATAGAGAGGGCAGCATCTGTGACACTACCCTCACCACCCGTGCCCTCAGTTATATCCGCGTCTAGAGAGGCAGAATAGAGAGGGTGGTGTCCGCGACACTACCCTCACCACTCGTGCCCTCAGTTATATCCTCGTCTAGAGAGGCAGAATAGAGAGGGTGGCGTCCGCGACACTACCCTCACCACTCGTGCCCTCAGTTATATCCTCGTCTAGAGAGGCAGAATAGAGAGGGTGGCGTCCGTGACACTACCCTCACCACCCGTGCCCTCAGTTATATCCGCGCCTAGAGCGGCAGAATAGAGAGGGCGGCGTCCGCGACACTACCCTCACCACCCGTGCCCTCAGTTATATCCGCGCCTAGAGCGGCAGAATAGAGAGGGCGGCGTCCACGACACTACCCTCATCACCCGCCCCTCAGTTATATCCTCGTCTAGAGCGGCAGAATAGAGAGGGCGGCGTCCGCGACACTACCCTCACCACCCGTGCCCTCAGTTATATCCGCGCCTAGAGCGGCAGAATAGAGAGGGCGGCGTCCACGACACTACCCTCATCACCCGCCCCTCAGTTATATCCTCGTCTAGAGCGGCAGAATAGAGAGGGCGGCGTCCGCGACACTACCCTCACCACCCGTGCCCTCAGTTATATCCGCATCTAGAGCGGCAGAATAGAGAGGGCGGCGTCCGTGACACTACCCTCACCACCCGCGCCTCAGTTATATCCGCGTCTAGAGCGGCAGAATAGAGAGGGCGGCGTCCGCGACACTACCCTCATCACCCGTGCCCTCAGTTATATCCGCGTCTAGAGCGGCAGAATAGAGAGGGCGGCGTCCGCGACACTACCTTCACCACCCGTGCCCTCAGTTATATCCGCGTCTAGAGCGGCGTCCGCGACACTACCTTCACCACCCGTGCCCTCAGTTATATCCGCGTCTAGAGAGGCAGAATAGAGAGGGCGGCGTCCGCGACACTATCCTCACCACCCGTGCCCTCAGTTATATTCGCGTCTAGAGCGGCGTCCGCGACACTACCCTCACCACCCGTGCCCTCAGTTATATCCAAGTCTAGAGCGGCAGAATAGAAATGGTGGCGTCCGTGACAGCAGCGAGGCTGGCGACAGCATTGAGGCCGAAGGACTAAAGTCACCATCTTGGATGGGCTGAAGGTGAGTAAATTAACAACAAATGACATTTTTGAGTGAATTAATCCCCTTAAGACTTTCTCTTAAATACTAGTTTCACCAACTAACAGTTAAACAAGCAGTAATCAGACTTGATTTTCAGATTCAAGTTTAATCTAAGCCTAATCTACATTTTGGTGACTGAATTTTAATTTATGAGCAGTCAATCCTTAGGGAACAAATGAAAAGGCTCAGTTCTTAAGATCAATGAGTGTGTTTGTTTTGCAGGAGAGCAACCGAGTGATCCTTCTGTGTTACCTGTCATCATTTGAATGATCTCCTGATTCTGGCCAGTGATGACAGAACTTGAGGTACGGGGACATGTGTCTTCATTATCAGAGTCTTCTGAAATCACAACAGCACAAGACACTGTTCATTTATTATCTGTCAACACGCAGATTCTACAGCTAGGGCTGGGTGGTAAAATCGGTATCGATATTTATTGACTGAACATCGTTGTCAATATCAATAAAAAAGATTTGGTATGTAGTTTCGGTTTGAATCGCTACAGTTTTATTAAAATGTGTCTGCCGAGCGCGCGCCTTGGAAGCAGTGCCAATAAGCTTAGGGTCTCAGTTTGTCATTTCCAATGGTCGCACATGTTATGCAAGCGCCGCACACGTAACGTTAGTTAAAAACATCTAAACTTTTCCGAATGCCGTGAGCGCACCGTAACCAATCTACTTTAAACTTTGTATGGAATAGACACATTTCAGTAATAACGGCAGACTAATGACCTCAGACAAACACAGCGCATCCAAACACTGCAGAGCCTTATACTTTTCTCCATAAACTTGCACTGGAGCTGCAGCAATGTTCTCTGTTTGTCATCCTCTGACAAAACGCTTGATGGTCACCTAGTTACGAGAAACGCCAGGGGAGCGCGAGCCCATTGTAAATGGTCGAGGAAACCGAAACCACGTGCTTGCGCTTATCACTTCAGGTCAGAATAACAACACATGTGAAAATGAGTGCGGTGGCTGGCAGCAGTGAGGAGATTGTAAATTAAATGGATGCAGCGCCAGAGTGGCTTTTTGGTTTCTTTTCTTGTGCATCCCAGCCTCTAGCTCCACATCTGAAAGAGTTTCAGCATAGGGGTATTGTAATCATTTAACTTCACTATCTGTAATGTTGCAGTGTGTGTTTGAATAATGATGGTTAGTTCCTTTACTAAAGCTCAGATTTGATGATCATAATTTGTGTTGTTGACAGAGTTTGAGGTTTACAGTATCATTATTATTCACACCTTACAGATGTTGATCTACCTTAAAGTTTGCTTTGATTGTTCAGCGTTTACACTTCATCATTGCACACATTTAACATTTTATTAATCAAGTTTAAGTGTCTCTTCAACACGTATGTTTGAGATCTTTTGTTTTAATGTTTGCATAGTTCGCATAGTTAAATGCTATTAAAACTATCTGCCTTAGTAATGTTGGTAAATTAAAATAAAGTGGTTAAAAAATCCTAATATTCCCAAATGTATTAAAAATATTCAATAATTATCGGTATCGAATGATATGAAACATGATATTGTGATACATTTTGTTTTGAATATCGCCCAGCCCTATCTACAACACACTGAAGTAAACTAGCAGATACTGACCAGTTTGAGCGAGGTGACGCTTGTGGCAGACAGAGGTACGGGGACATGTGTGTTCATTATCAGAGTCTTCTGGAATCACAACAGCACAAAACAGTGTTCATTTATTATCTTTCAACAGAAAGATTCAACAACACACTGAAATAAACTACCACATACTGACCAGTTTGAGTGAGGTGACGCTGGTGGCTGACAGAGGTACATGGACAATGGACATGTGTCATCATTTTAGAGTCTTCTGGAAAAAGCAACAGGCAACTCAATGTTGGAAGGCAGAATTGGTTTGTTATCATAACAAAAACTCTCCAGGCAGAAGCGATGCTGCTTATAAATCAACCCACATTTAAAAAGTGTTTAATTATTACTGTATTTAAGTGCTAGTACCTAGTCCAGGGATCTGTTATTTGAATACAGCTAAAAACATCTACACTAAGATGATTTGACAGATTTCACATTGTGGTCATTTTTCTCTGGTTGTGGGTCTTCAAACGCATTTGCAGATTTGATCTGAATAAAGTTTCTAAAAAGATTTCTGTGTATTCTTGTGTTCATTGGATGGGCCAGATATATTGACTAGGGAGGTGCACAACAACTTTACATGGAAAATTTATAACGATCCAAAAGACGATGGGATGTGAATAATGGAATTATGAATAAACGAGTAATAAATGACGGTTTCCTGCAATACTACATCATTACCAACTGATGATGGTAATATGATGATGACTGGCATGTGTGTGTAGGGGTGTGACAACCACATAGCTGATGATGACTGGCTAAAAACACAAGTGACACTTTCAAAGAGGTAGACGGAGCTTCTATATTAAAGAAATAAAACTAGTTTAGTATTGTTTATGCGGAAATAACCAATAGTAGTGAGACAAGTCAATCATGTCAGTGTATTTTGACTAAGTACTTTACAAATTACATTTCCATATGATCAGCTTGCCGTGAATGGAGCCAGAGGTTCGGGCATACGGTGTCAGTGAGAGCGAGAGTGTACTCTGCAGTGATTACAGTGGTCACAAAATCTATTTATTTATATTATACCAAGATTAAAACATGAATAAACAGTAAGTTTGTTGATAGAAACATGCTACATGTACAGTATCTTGTACAATCACCAAATCTGTGTTTCAACCATGGAAAGATGTCAATGTTATTTTTATATTTAATATAAATTATAAACATAATACTGTAATATTTATACTACATTTATGTTACATTGCCCAAGAAGCCAATGCATATTTAGTCTTATTTGTTGGCCAGTTGTGGTGAATATTATACAACCCCAAATCAAAAGAATTTGGGACAGTATGGAAAATGCAAATAAAAAAAAATAAAGTAGTGATTTCTAAATTTACTTTGGCTTGTATCTCATTGCAGACAGTACAACAAACATTATTTAATGTGCTCCTCATGATTTCTTTTTTTTTTTTTTTTTTTTTTTTTTTAATATTCCAATTTTGGTTTTTGCAACACTCCAGAAGCAGTTGTGAAAGGAGCAGTTTAGGGCAGTAATCAGGTAAACTGGTAAAATAATGATGTGATGATGTGAAACAGGAGATGTCAAAAGGTAATTGTAATTATGATCTGATTGAGATACAGCCAAAGCAAATATAGAAATTATTTCTTTATTATTTGGGTTTTCACACTGTCCCAACCTTTTCTGATATGGGCTTGTAAGTTCTAAAATATCTATTATGATTTATTGTTCCACTATAAAAAGGATCATATTATAATAAAATAATTATTTGGATAGATGACTCACATTGTCCCAGATGAACATTAACATAGTATAGAATAGTGCAGGATGTTTTATAATAATTTATTTAATTGTGTAAAATCCGCTTTGGAACGCTTAGTTTAAGCAAATTTGATGAACGCGATCATGCGTGTTGATCTGAAGAGAGTCGCTCTCGCTCACCGAATGCGCTGTACTGTGTGTGTCCGTTCCCTAAGCAACAAGAACAAACGCCTGACATCGCCAGTCTGTATTCCTCAAAGTTGTTTAGAATTAAATGTTTAGAGATGGTGTGAAAACGCGTACCTATGTGTGCCTTTGATGCACACTTTCATGCTTCTTATGTCCTTGTCGCAGCACCAGTGACACCAAAATTCATATGCTGATTTGATCCGGTACATACCGGTTAAAAAGCTACTGGTGCTATAATGGCACCGGGTTTCAGTACCCAACCATATTCAACACCCCATGCCACGTCAAATTGCAGGAGTTCTTTGTGCAAAAACATCCCTGATCAAGTATTGGTTTACAGCAGTCCAACACTACTGTGATAATTTTTTTTCTATTGGTCTTCAGTAATATTCTAATTTTCTTATTCTAAACATCTTAATGTATTGAGATGCGCCCGGACATTTTGTGTGCTTTTTATTTTACAAGCTTCTTTTTAAAGTAATGCAATAGTTTATTTCCCTGGAAATTCGTTACTTTTATAATGATAAAATTAAGTTACTAAGTCAGTTATTATTTGTGAAAAGTAACTATAACTAATTACTTTTATAAGTAACACGCACAACACTGCTTGTGACTTACCTTTTTCAGTGCTTTGGACTTCACTCTCCTGGCAGGATCTAGAAGACGAGCTTCTATTATTTTCACTCTCTGTAAAACAAGTAAGAAAAAATTAGGAAAAAACAATACCCAAAAACCACAGATAATATTAACCAAATACCAAATTAGATTTACTCACCATCAGCCAGTGGTGGATTTAGGCATGGGCAATATGGGCATGGGGAGATGGTCCAAAAAAAGTGCCCCCGTAAAAGCTTTGAGGTAAGATTTACTTCATGCAAGTGTATTAATTTAGACTGGTTATCTCAGAATAAAGACGTTAGGAGCTATTCAGATCACACACAAGTTTGTTAATCTCTATGTGCAACTGAACCAATGCTGGTGAAAACAAATTGATGCAACTTATATGTGATTGGTCACTGCTATAAGAGCGATCTATATTGTTTCAATAGAGCCATCATTGCTGTGGCAGAGAAGTGTATACGAGTTCCGACGGTAGTGGTTACTGGATATGGAAGTGTATGTACTAAGCAAAATATATGTGGGCTCATGCAGTAGTAAGACTATGATCTTTCATGATCTATAAAGATTCTGTGGTGATCTATGATAATTGGCAGTGGTGCATTATAAGGCGAGCGTCGCCTGTAGGAGTGGTCACTGCACTAGCAGTGGTGCATAATAAGGTGTGCGTCTCCAGTGGGAGCAGTCACTGCGCTTGCAGTGATGGATAATAATAAAGTGTGCGTCTCCAGTGGGAGCAGTCACTGCACTTGCAGTGATGGATAATAATAATAAAGTGTGCGTCTCCAGTGGGAGCAGTCACTGCGCTTGCAGTGATGGATAATAATAAAGTGTGCGTCTCCAGTGGGAGCAGTCACTGCGCTTGCAGTGATGGATAATAATAAAGTGTGCGTCTCCAGTGGGAGCAGTCACTGCGCTTGCAGTGATGGATAATAATAAAGTGTGCATCTCCAGTGGGAGCAGTCACTGCACTTGCAGTGATGGTTAATAATAAGGTGTGCGTCTCCAGTGGGAGCAGTCACTGCGCTTGCAGTGATGGATAATAATGTGTGCGTCTCCAGTGGGAGCAGTCACTGCGCTTGCAGTGATGGATAATAATAAAGTATGCATCTCCAGTGGGAACAGTCACTGCACTTGCAGTGATGGATAATAATAAAGTGTGCGTCTCCAGTGGGAGCAGTCACTGCGCTTGCAGTGATGGATAATAATAAAGTGTGCATTTCCAGTGTGAGCAGTCACTGCACTTGCAGTAATGGATAATAATAAGGTGTGCGTCTCCAGTGGGAGCAGTCACTGCGCTTGCAGTGATGGATAATAATAAAGTGTGCATCTCCAGTGGGAGCAGTCACTGCACTTGCAGTGATGGATAATAATAAAGTGTGCATCTCCAGTGGGAGCAGTCACTGCGCTTGCAGTGATGGATAATAATGTGTGCATCTCCAGTGGGAGCAGTTACTGCGCTTGCAGTGATGGATAATAATAAAGTGTGCATTTCCAGTGGGAGCAGTCACTGCGCTTGCAGTGATGAATAATAATAAAGTGTGCATCTCCAGTGGGAGCAGTCACTGCGCTTGCAGTGATGAATAATAATAAAGTGTGCATCTCCAGGGGGAACAGTCACTGCGCTTGCAGTGATGGATAATAAAGTGTGCATCTCCAGTGGGAACAGTCACTGCGCTTGCAGTGATGGATAATAAAGTGTGCATCTCCAGTGGGAGCAGTCACTGCGCTTGCAGTGATGGATAATAATAAAGTGTGCGTCTCCAGCGGGAGCAGTCACTGCGCTTGCAGTGATGGATAATAATAGGGTGTGTGACTCCTGTAGTAGCGGTCACTGCACTGGCAGCAGTGTGTAATAAGGTGTGCGTCTCCCGTAGGAGCGGTCACTGCACCTGCAGTGGTGCATAATAATAAGGTGTGCGTCTCCCGTAGGAGCGGTCACTGCACCTGCAGTGGTGCATAATAATAAGGTGTGCGTCTCCCGTAGGAGCGGTCACTGCACCTGCAGTGGTGCATAATAATAAGGTGTGCGTCTCCCGTAGAAGCGGTCACTGCGCTTGCAGTGGTGCATGATAGTAAAGTGTGCGACTCCTGTAGGAGCGGTCACTGCACTGGCAGCTGTGTGTAATAAGGTGTGCGTCTCCAGTGCGAGCAGTCACTGCGCTAGCAGTGATGCATAAATTTACAGTGGGCAATTGCTGCTAGCAGCGGCAACCTTATGATATAACTACTTGGAGGGATTAAAGATCAAGGATTTGAAAAGGCTTAGGGGTTGAAATAGTAAAAGGGGGCAATATGGAGCATTTCCACTGACTTTTACAATTAATTTCTATTCATTTCATTTTCTGGTCGGCTTAGTCCCTTTATTAATCCAGGGTCGCCACAGCGGAATGAACTGCCAACTTATCCAGCAAGTTTTTAAGCAGCGGACGCCCTTCCAGCCGCAACCCATCTCTGGGAAATTTCTATGAAAAACTTAAATCATAGACTTAAAGGAACTTAATGTAGTGCAAGGAGCGTTGAGGAGTAGCCGAAGGTTTTGAAAGGAGTTCCTTCAATTATATCGAGTGAAATTGCAAGTTAAATCGCTGTGAAAATAGGTGGGGTAAGCTAGACATGTGATTCTGGATGATTTTTGAGCTGAAATTGCTTATCAGCTTGGTCTGATTGCTTTATATTTACTTATTAAATTTAAGCAATTTATTTTATATATATGTCTATTACTTATTATTTTCTTTCTGCTTTATTTTTATTACAATTCATTAATTGTTTCACTTGCAGAACAAAGATTATGTCTGTGTTTACGGTAATAACATATTTAAGTTTATACATGTTAAGTACCTAGACGATGAATCTATGGAAGAAAGTCTATACACGGCGTTGTGATCGGCAATCGATTGCTCTTGACTGCCTTGTCCTGTGTTATACAGGTGTAAAACTGTAGTGTTTGCCTCTGATGTTGAAGTAGTACACTA